TTTTCATTCTGAAACGCTGCTGCTCCGTCTCAGTGTGGATGATGGAAAACGGAGACATCTGAAAACGGAGGCGGGGCTGCAGACATTCACCTCTCTGATTGGGGCTTTTCCTGAATATTAAGTAGCCTCACACACAGTTCAGTCCTGAATCTTCTCCGTGTAAGTTCAGACTTCGCATGTTTGATCAAGGCAGCAGTCTCTTCTTCTCAGTTTGATATGGAAAACATACCGAGGACACGCGTCAATCTTCACAGGGAACAGTGTACTTTATAACTTCATTCACATCACCCTGGCTACGTTGTTTCACTTTCTCAACAATAAATTGTATACATGATTTAAGGAACTGCCTATTTTTATTTTAATATTAACAACTAAACAGACAGCAGACATGTTGAGGTGTCGTGCTGCATGAGCGTCATCTTCACTGTGTGGATATTTATAACAAAACGGAGCCGATAACAACTGCCCCCTTTCAATTTCAGTGAAAATACGAAACACAGCCTCTCTTTTGCTGAATATCCGTTTTAATAATCAATAATGGCCATTATAAAAGTATAACATACAATAAGTTTTTACATTATAGGAAATAAAGGCAAGCGATCAGTCAATATACATAATAGGCTACGTGGTTTCATCAATCATTAACTTATCTTTTGCGCTCAGCCAAAACACGTTACCTGAGAAAAAGTAAGATTCTAATGACCAAAGTCAGGGAATATGTCGTTAGATAAAGACAACAAGATTAATGAAATATCCCGTTTAATAAATATAGTGAGATATTAGATCCAGCGGTAGATGCTTGATGAGAAGTCCGACTAGCAGAGCTCTCATCTGGGTAGATGAGCTGCAGCGCTTGCCAGAGAGTGTCTGTGTGGTCACGTGATGTGCGTTTTCAGCGTTTTGGTGTGGACGGAGAGAAGTTCTGAAACGCTGGGTAAAACGCTAGTGTGGACGCGGATCGTTTTCATTCTAAAACGCCGTTTTAAAACTAAAACGCACTAGTGTAAACGGGGCCATAGACTTTCCCAGGGAGGCTGAAGAGTGTGACCCCCCTGTAGTTGGAACACCCTCTGGTCCCGCTTTTTTAAAATGGGAACCACCACCCCAGTTGCCCAATCCAGAGGTACTGTCCCTGAATTCCATGCGATATTGTAGTGACGTGTCAGCCAAGACACCCCCACAATATCCAGAGACCTGAGATACATAGGGTGTTTCTCATTCACCCTCGCTGCTTTGCCAGTGTTTGCCAGCTTGCAAACTACATCAGTGACCTCAGCTTGGGTGATGGCTGAGTCTAGCCCTTCTTCCAAAGTCTTTGCTTCCTTAATGAAAGACATGTCATCAGGGTTGAGGAGATCCTCTAAGTATTCCTTCCACCATCCGACAGCATCCCCAGTCTAATCTTCCTCCATGGTCTCCCTAAACTCCTCCCAGGCTTCCATCAGCTGCCTCTGGAGTCCTACAAGCCAACTAAGCCCTGTAGGACTCCTTCTTCAGCTTAACGGCCCTACTTCCAGTGTCCACCACCAGGTTTGTTGATTGCCACCTCAAAAGGCACCACAGGCAGTACAGCCACAGCTCCTCATGGCCACATCAACAATGGAGTCAACGAACATGGACCCCTCGTCTTAATGTCTCCAGCCTCCCTCAGAATCTGGTCAAAGCTCCTCTTGAAAATCCCTTTGACTTGAGGTTCAGCCAGACATTCCCAGAGGACCCTCACAATAAGTTTAGGCCTTCCCCCTGTCAGCAGATCCAATTCACCACCAGGTGGTGATCAGTTGACAGCTTTGCCTAGGCCCAATACTTGTGCTAGATGGGTGTGTCACTGCCAAAGACTATTGAACCATTCTAGAGTATCATGTGCACCCAATGGTTCAAACATTGTATCCTGAAGGCAGTGCCGTGTATCAAAATGATAATGTATCAATACACAGTACTGGTGATAGAGTGGTTTGATGGACATGAAAGTGAAGTTAGCAAATCACGGTGGCACATGTGGGTAGCACAATCGCCTCACAGCAAGAATGTCACTGGTTTGAGCCCCAGCTGGTTCAGTTGGCGTTTCTGTGTGGAGTTTGCATGTTCTTCCTGTGTTCACGTGGGTTTCCTCCAGGTGCTCTGGTTTCCCCCACAGTCCAAAGACATACGGTATAGGTGATTTGAATGAGCTGAATTGGCTGTAGTATATGAGTGTAAATGCAAGAGTACATGGGTGTTGGGTTGCAACTGGAAGGGCATTCGCTGCATAAAGTAAAAAGCCATTTCCTAAGGCCTGCACAGTCAATAAATGTAAGTATTACTGAGTCACTTTGGCGTGTTTTGAAGGAGAGAGTCCAGCATCACATAGTGACAAGGCCAATATTCTGCAAGAAGAATGGCTCAAAATCCCTTAGGCCCCTGTGCAAGACTTGTTTCTGTCATTTCCAAGTTTAATTGATGCCGTGTTGGCTGCAAAATGAGGCCCTATGCCATACAGAAGTGTTAAGACAATTGTTTACAGACCAGCATGTAAATTATGTGGGTTTGATTTGACAGAACATTTTGATGAAGACAAAAAAGTGTTAGGAAGAAAAGAGTGTGAAGAAAAACAACTTGCAATTTGGGCACAGTCATGAATTGAGCAAACTAATCTGTAACTGTCTAAATGTAATTTAAGGCAATTTGCACAAAAAAAGTGTTCAAAAACAAACATACTGTACACATTCTGTGAGATGGTTTTTACATACCAAAGAAAAAAAAGCATGTTGTTACTGTAAATGCTCTTGCACATGCTGAGAAAACATTGTATTGGCCTGTCTCCTTAGCTGGCTGTCTAAATGCAAAGACAGATCAGTTTTTGCAAGAGTTCTTTAGATCTAAACTCAATGGACAAGTGTGCAAAGCGTTTAAAAAATACAAGGATATAATATGCATTAAGCATGATGGTCAATGTGTGGGCTTGGTTTTGATCAATGTGTTTAAACTTTGAGCCAAACACAAATTAAGTCTTATAAAAGTATTCTCAAGCAACCTTGTTCAGCAAATTTCTTAGGAAAGATTTAATCATGAAAATTTTAAGATTTTACATTGGCATTAATCAGTCCTTTAATAATAAAGCCAAGAAGAACTCTTAGAAAGTCACAATGTAGCACAAACAACTTCATCAGCAAATGATGACAGGCAACGAACTGAGCAAATAAAGTAAATAATAGAAGTAGAACCAGACTGGAACCAATGGAAGTGGTACAGAGGAACTGACTGGAAATAGAAGATAGGCAGGAAAGGGAGGCTGGGTACTGACTCTGGACACTTAGAGTTGGCTATCAAATGACCCGTTTCCACTGAGTGGTATAGAACGGTTCAGTACACTTTTATGGCCATTTCCACTGTCAAAGTGTACCCAAAAGTAGGGTTGCACGATATATTGGCGACCATATCATTATCGGCCAATAAATGCTATTTTCAAGATTACCGTTATCGATCCGATGTCTAAATCGGAAAAAAGTCTTTAAGCTGATAAATTACGTAATTGTACAGAACTGCCTGCCTCGCGCATGCGTGGGCAGAACTTGTTTAGACTTGTGACTGTGCACTATAATGGATCTCTCCTCACACTGTTTATTTATTCGACCTTTCCTTATGGGGTATTGCTTTACGTTAATTCCTCAGTAAGTAACCATGTTCCTTATTATTGTAGATATTTTTTATTTAAATTATAAATTATAATCAAATTATGTTTATAGAAAGGTTAGTAATTAACATTTATAAAGTATTTGTTGGTATAAAGCATGTTTTTGATATACAAGCGAACACAGGTCTCACAATGCGCACGTATCACGCACAAACACACTTTTTAAACTTGACAAAAACTCTCGATAAACTACTGGCTGCTGTGTCCTTAATATGGTGTAAAGATTATTGTTATTGCGTTACTGAAACATCAAGGAGGATGCAGCAAAGAAAAGTCACTTATAAATAAAACTATTTTATTATTTTATGCAACAGCCTTAAAAGGGAAACATAAGGGTGATCAAAAGCAAAAAGACCCCTAGCCTATAAGGTGTCTTGTGGAATACCATTAAACTGACCAGCTATATGTTCTTTCCCTTATTATTTGCTTGTTTGCCGCATGTACTCGTGTGCGATCAGTAAACCAGTGTAATGACGGCATGCCATCTTTAACAGACTCAGGCAAAGTCCGCCTCTCCTTTCACTCCGCCCCGAAGGCCCAGCTGGCCCTCTTTTGCTCAAGGTATTCGGCGGGCCGAAACATTTTCCTCCACCAGCATCGCTCTGGCGACTGTGCAGGACTTGTATCTGTCATTCTCAAGATGAATTGGTGATGTATTGGCTGGAAAAGTAGGCCCAACACCATATGGATATTTTTCAAAGCACGCAAAAGACATGCTTTTAAAAAAAAATTGACAAGTGTTCACAGACCAACATGTAGATTGTGTGGGTTTAATTAAAAAAAAAAAAAAAAAAAGTTTTGATGAAGACAAAAAAAGTGTTAGTAAGAAAAAAAACTCGCAATTTGGGCACAGTAATGAATTAAGAAAACTGATCTGTTCACCTACTAACTGTCTTAATGCAAATTGAGGCAATTTACATTAGGAGTGACTTAAATTAAGGTTTTGCAAGTGCTTCAAAAAGGAATTCTCTATTTGAATAACCTCAGTAGATGAGTGTGCAAGGAATGTTTTAATGCAACAAAATATACAATGCAAGGTATCTTGATCGACTTTTGTGTGGCTAAAACTTTGTGGCAAACACAAAGTTCTCATGAGAACAAATCAAATGTATTGATATATTAGCATGTACCCTTATTGAGTGCAGATCTTAAGACATTTAATATCTATTAGAAGACCAGATCAACTTTTTTTCTTTAGGCAAAACAACTTCCAATATTGTTGCAGATGCACAGTGTCAGCTTTTTATTAAGAAAATAAAACTCACCGTAAAGCTTATATAAACATTAATACATTTAATAATAAAATATCAACAAGAGACTTGTTTGATGTGAATTTTATTAAACAATAAGTCATGGTTTTATTGATTTTAGCCATAAAACAGTATCAAAAAATATAAATAAATGATTTTTAGTAGTTGTCCGCTAAAACCACTAAGTACATATCTGTGTTTTAAAATACACATATCATAAACTATTATGCCAGTTAGTTTAAATGTAGTGTGTACACTTTTATATAACAAGGCTGGAAAAAAAAACACATTCAAGTTAAATGCATTGTGTGGGAAGATGTAACTCCAGTAACAAATGAAAACTCCAGTTCGGTTGTGGTATAAGAAGTAGTAAGTTTAACTTGTATGCACATTAAGGTTTACTTGATTGGAAGAGAGATGATTACTGTAGTTCTTAAAAAGTAAATATTGTATTTTTTTTAAATACTAAATTATTATGTTAAGACATGTCAAAGTACAAATAGTGTTTATGTTGACATTATTTAACTGGTTAGGAAGTAAAGTTAGAGTATTGTTAGAAGATGAGTGGTACTGGAGAAATGCAGAGAGCCCAGATCGTAGTGGCAGATGCAGTTGACGCAGGCGGCTCATAGTAAAAGGCAGGTGCATTTAGACAGCTTCTCGTGGCTCAGCAGACCATGCTGGGTTGTGGCCAAATTCTGAATCAGGCCCCAGAAGTTTTTGAAGCTGATGCCTTCCCCATCTTTCACTCCCATTTGCTTCATCACTTCACCAACTTGTTCCGACTAGGGGGAAAGAAAGTAGGAAATGTCAATGGTGATCATGTATCATCTTTTTTTCTTTTTCCAAGTTTGTATGTGAAAAGTGGCACTTTGTCTCCCTCAAGTGGGCAGTGGTTGGTCTGTTTGGCTCAGTAATAAGTCAATACTAACACACCCAACTTTCAGTTAAAACCATTAAATATTGTAAATCTACATTATTAAACATAAAAAAACTTTCATAATCATATTATTTTCTCTCTAAATATGTACAGTCAGTCGACCAGTATTTCTCTTTTTGGTTGCAAATGTGAAAACATGATCTGTGAGTATACGTGCATCAGCACTGAATAATCTCTGAAGTACTGTTCATATGATACTGTTCATCGTTCAACTAAAACAAATACAAAATCTATGTTCTCTCTCAAGCTGTAAAAAGCCTGTCACAACATGACCTGATACTGACTGCAGCTGAAGAGCATAGTTAGTTGGATTGCAGGAGAAACTATCTTGCAGAGCAACACCACCATTTTGCTCCCTGAATGGAGCCACACCCAGTGTCTGTCGCTGGCTCAACCTGAGTTTAAACTGATCTGTGTAATCAGCCCACGCCTCTATCCAAGGCAACAAACCCTGGGAAACATTTTTCAATATACCAACCAAATAAACCCTTACACAAGTTATTTTCTAAAAAAAACTTTAGAACAAATATGATTTAGGGGGCAGTTGTGGCTACAAGATCTTTTCTGTTTTAAATATGGTGTGAATGTTACAGCAAATCGAACACAGTTCTGTTTATGACTGTTTATAAAATACCTGCCAATTTATGCTATTTAATTAAAATAATCCCACATACAATGTAATAGTAATTAAAACTTGCACTTTGGCTTAAAGTTATTTAGAACTGGCTTTTCCAGTATATGGGGCCAATAAAAACAAAGACAGAGCACTGTGTTTTCTACACAAGGTCAAAACACCACCAGAGTAACACATCTCTCTAAAACAATGCAAAACGTTAACTTTATGACAGCTGCAGTTTATACTTTGTATTCTAAAACACTATTTACACAATACAGCGAAATACTGTGTTAGTGTAATCTTTACTGTACCATATTCTCCCATTATCTGTTTTACTGTAAAGACAACAGTGCTTAATGCTTATACCGGAAATGAGTAATAGCAGTACTGAGTCATTCTTATCTTCTAGAATGGCATCATGGGTTTTTACCTTGATCAAAGTTGGCAGCTGTGAGGAGAGAAGGTTCTTGAACTCATCTGCCTTCAGCGTAGGCTGGTTATCCTTAGAAGCAGCATGGAAGTTTGTGACCAGGGTGTTAATGGCCTTCTCAAGGTCAGAATACTGGTAAAATAAGAGAGTACAGATAATTCAATCAGATGGAGACATATACTTTAGATAAATAGAAGAATGTAGGTGGTGGTACAGAAAATGCTATTAAAGAGTTTGGGCTAAAACACAAGTGTCAAACTCCGTTCCAAAAGGGCCGCAGCTCTGCACAGTTTAGTTCCAACCCTAATTAAACACACCTGATCAAACTAATTGAGTCCTTCAGGCTTGTTTGAAACCTACAGGTAAGTGTGTTGGAGCAGGGTTGGAACTAAACTGTGCAGGGCTTCGGCTCTCCAGGAATTGAGTTTGACACCCCTGGGCTAAAACCAAATGGTTTAAGTTTTAAGAATAAGTGTTTGGTTCTTTTAAAACAATCTTTGTGGCTTAAGCTCTATCAAAATTCAAATGGAAAGCCTTTTCACTTACAGTGCTATGAATATTAAAGTATTTGAAAATTATTAATTCAGGTTTAGACTACTCAGTGAACATTCTGACAGGAACAATAAAATGCCCTTGTTTTTTGTTACTCACTTCTCCAAGACTAAACATCATATCAATGGACTCTGTAAACTGTGTTTATTTAAACTGCAAACTTTCGCAGAATTATTCAGGATAGTACCTGAAATACCTGCATATCAGGCCCAACACAGCCCGCCCCTCTGTGTACATAAGCACACAGACAGAAACCATTTTGCTGCTTTGTTCAGACAAAAGTTTAGGATTTCATAGCTTTGACTTTACTTTATAATGTGGAAATGATAGGCTGCATTAATGTTCCTGTCTACATAAGGCCTAACAAATACATATCTAACTTATACAGACTAATTCAGAAACTTTCTGCATACTTTTCCTAATTAACATAAAAAATCTTCGTCTTGCCCCTGCCTGATTGATTCCCCGTGCTTTCCATTTCTACACAATGGCAGCATGTCAAAACCCACTGAGCTGCCTGTTTAGATCGACAGCATTTTTGGGGGGTATCATAAGTCATGGGGGTGGTACCGCAGTCAGTTCGCTGTCGATTTTGACTCACAGTCGTGTCGTTTGCATAGATAAAACTACGAGCGTTCAGAAAGGCACAGAAAGTTTTAGCTCATATGGCTTGAATTATCTGGCCGTATTTCTGAGATTCTTTGTTAGCCATCAGCAACACAGAAAGCGTTCCTGAGTTAAAACATGAAGATTCGGTGCATGATGTGTCAAAGAACGCATATGCGTCTTTAAGAGTTAGATTACTTTAAATCAATACAAAACAAGACACTTGGGTCTAGAAATAGAAATAAATAATATCACAGCGGTAAAAGAAATCAATCAAACAAATGGTTGCGTCAGTGGCAAGTTATCTCGTGTAACAGGTAAACATAGCGCGAACTCTAACCAAAAACTTAAACAACTGTTAAAGAAACTATTTCGGTGCCTTTGACAACAACATAATACATTTCTGGACACCGTTTAGGTCAAATGTGGAAGATTACCGAGACTGACAGGCAAACGCCAAGTTTAAGAGGCGCAGTCCGCTTCCAAACTGACGAGGATCAGCTTACATAAAACACACATAAACTAAACGCCTAAAACTAATCTGTAACAAACGAACAATAATATATACAATATACTGAACACCACATACCTGAGTCGCCATTTGATTTGGTTTGTTATATTTTCTTGGCTCTAGAAAACTTTACTCTTGCCGTCGTGTTGTACTCGATATACTTCACACTCTCAGCTTCCCATAGCTTCTGTCACATCTTGGCTGGCATCCTGAATCCTCCCACTCGGGCAGAGAGAAAACAAAACTAAACCCACCTTCCTTCTCAGTGACTTCTATGGCAGTGGTTCTCAAACTTTTTTCATCAAATACCACCTCAGAAAAGAATTGTCTCTCCAAGTACCACCAAAATGAGCAGTATTGAAATACAATAGCGTAGTAGGCCCAGTAAAGCAGCTACAACTCTGCACAGTTAAAAAAAGTGGCAGATTGCCTCAGAAATATAGGCTATATGTCATAAATGGCATATTATATACATCATTTTTGATAAATTTTGAAATGTGTGTAGCATGTACATGACATATTTCATTCCTCCGCGTACCACTAGAAGGAAGCCTGCGTACCACTAGTGGTACACGTACCACAGTTTGAGAACCACTGTTCTATGGGAATAAATGTCTTGTAATTTGATGCTTTCGGACAGTAAATCTAACGGGTGGAGACGATCAAGTTTAACACTCTGGAAAAACTCTGGAAAACCAGGTTTCCGTATATATGACACTTTTTTTTTGATGGATGAAAACTATTGGCAAACAGACGCCTCTGCTCCGTCGGGAACACATCTGGAAGCTTTTAGGATAAAAATTATTTTGCTCAACAACAGGCCCCTAGTTCTGAATAGCTTGAAATGTAATTATTGAAAAATTGAAGTGGCTTTTATTTTTGATTTGGTTTAATCTTTTAAGAAGATAGAAGCTGTTAGTATTTAATCAGTTCCATTAAGCAAGGCGTGTCATTTGCAGATCAAAATCCACTGTCTTTTTACGCTCCAGATTTCCTCTGCTTGATTTTTTTTTCTTTTCAATTCTTCTTGCAATTCACAGGCAAGGGCATGCTCAGCTTTTGGGTGGGTACAATGGGATTACGAGACTTGACACTCCTTTGACAACATTACAGGGGTGATTTACTACAGCGTATAGGACAGGACAGCAATGTAGAGGTGTGTGTATAAGCATGCAGATTTACAAATAACAAACTGAGCAATGTGTCAGCATCTTTAAACGATTGCTCCACCCTCTTGTGCAAAAAGGTAATGGACATTGAGGTTTGAGTAACTGATGAATTTACGCAAGCAGAATAATATCAATATTTCAGATGTTCAGAGCACAGATCTGTTGTGTTTAAAATATGGTAAAACTGTACAGCTGAATGAACTGACACATTAACTTCAAAAGAACACTTTTATTAAAACAATGTTTTAAAATATACTTACTTTAAAGTAAAAATTTTAATTTGACAATAATTTAAAGCACTCTTTGTGAAAGTGAACTCTTATTAAGTATAGTGCAGGAGCCTTTTGTTTCATTCAAAGTTTTATCTCTAATTATATCATTTTTAAAAGTAGTGCAAATTCAATACAATTAAATGTACTTCATTTCATAAGTGAAAACAAAAGCCCTTTTGTTTCTGTCTTTTAAAGTGATGTCAGTTGTATTTAGTGCATGTTGATACTGGTTAGTTATTTTTTAAACTTTCATGGCTTAGACCCATATTTAGTTGAGGCATATATCTTTTTCTTTTCTCTTTCTTGCAACACACATTGTCACATTTGTTTAATTTTCAGTGTAAGCACAAACAGCCGTGTTTTTCATTGTAGATGTTAATTTCAGCTCAGTTCAAGTCTACATTCTTCACATACCATGCAGTTTTTTTAGATGGCAAACTGCCATTTGCAAACTGCCTGTTTTACCTGCGGTCTAAAATGTAACATATTTACAAAGAGAACAAATGTGCATTGTACGAACAGACTCATGTTCACACTTGTGCAGTAGTGATGCATGGATTACACATGCTCCAGTGTTCAGCGTAAGTATTTGCTCATGAGTATGTGTCATCATCCACCTGCAGAGAGGTGTTGTACTAAATGCAGTATTAGTGATATGAATCAAAGAGTCCTTATAATGCAATTTTTTACAATCCTAAATATGTATTTGTTTTACGATAAAAAACAATGCTTTTCTCATTGCACTCACCCAGTTTATCCCCATATTGGTGTCTTAATGATATTATTAACTTTTAAAAAGTTGTAAACTTTTACATAAAATCTATTTTTACATACATTTTTGATATAGTTTATAAAACCGTTTTTTTTCCCCCTGAGTGTAAAAACTGACCTCTGAAAAACCCACATTTTTTAGAGTTTACTCTGATTAGTCAGATTGGTCTACCACAGAGATGCCCAAAGTAGACCACGTGGGCCAAAGTAGGTATCGCGGATGCCGCCCTAGAAGGCCGCCTAGGTCGCCTCTATAGACGCGCCGGCCCTGTCACTGAGCCAAACTGAAATTAAATGTTTCAATTAAATGTTAATGAATCTGAGTTTTAAAATGTAAATACTGTCGACAAAAAGAGGGCTATACAGGAGACATGGGCGAGCAAATCAATACAAAAAAACAGTGTAACTATTATAGTTGAGATTGTTTTTATTTTTATAGTAATAAGTTCATTATAAAATGTGTATATATATATATATATATTATACCATATTACTTAATATAAAGCAATGTTTTATAGTTATTTTTAAATATTATTAAATAAATTTTGCCCACTAGCCTCAATAAAGTTTGGTTTTTGGCACTTCATAAGAAAAGTTTGTGCACCCCTGGTCTACCACTTACAGTTTGTATCAGAAACCAAAAAAATCTGTATCTGGATTACAATTTAACAGTGCAGTTTTGAGCCTGAGTCTTCAGCATTTGAATGTAAAAAGTAAGATTTGATTTGCTCTTGCTGAGCGGAAAACAACTTCTTCTCAACATTCCAGCTCAACAACCTCTTCCAGGCCTTAATGTTTGAGAGCTAAAGTTAATATATGTTGGTGGAGACATCATAAACTTACAGATTACATTTGTACAGAAAGTATGACTGAAATTACTAACAGATAGTTTCAGACTGTCAAAATTATTAAATTTTTCAAAGGTTGAACGCGAATCACACAAAACTGAATTTTCTGTACATTTTAGTAAATTACAAAAGGTCAATTAAAAACAATTATTACAATATTTCAAACTTCTTAAAATGTGTTTTGGTGGTTTGTTTGTGTATCAGTAATAATGCAGGCTCGAGCCCTGGCACCTGGTACAGAGATTGTAGGTGGTGGGAGTTAATAACCAGTACTCTCAACATCTAGGATTAGGTGAGGGGAATAAGGCTGCCCACTGCTCTGATTTTGTGTTCACATAGATTAAATGCAGTACTGGGCACCATACTTGGCCACATACAGTATCAGTTTCACACACCCACACATACACACACACACACACACACACACACACACACACACAAGCACTTTAAAATAATTTTGAGAATTTTTTTTTACTTAACTTGTCAGCTAGCTCTCCGCAACTCTCACATGGTCACCCAGCAAAGCAGAGCTGCGCCCGGTCAGTAACTGGACGGGAGACCACATGGGAAAGCTAGGTTGCTGGGTGTTAGTGAGACCAGCAGGGGGTGCCCAGCCTGTGGTCTGTGTGGGTCCCAATGCCCCAGTATAGTGACGCTAAACTGCTCAGTGAGCGCTTATTCGGATGAGACGTTAAACCGAGGTTCTGAGACTCTGTAGTTGTTAAAAACCCCAGGATTTCCTTAGTAAAAGAGTGGAGGCTTAACCCCGGTTACCTGGCCAAATCAGCCCACTGGCCTCTGTTTATCAAGGCCTCCCAACCAGCCCTATACCATTATTGGCTTCATCCCTCTGTCTCCTCTCCACCAGTCAGCTGGTGTGTGGAGTGTGGTCTGGCGCAATATGGCTGCCATCGCGTCATCCAGGTGGATGCTGCATAACGATGATGGATGAGATTTCTCCCATTGTGTAAAGAGCTTTGATTGTCCAGAAAAATATATAGCAGATTCAACAAGGGGCCTCATGATAATCTAATATAAAGTTGGGATGAAATCTAAATTTAAATGTTTATTTTACTAGAAAACTTTGTGAGTCTTTAATATGAATAATTAAGTACAAGTTCATCCACTGACAAAAAAAAAAAAAGTTCTGTTAATCTTTTATCAAAATCTAACCATGTGCTTCACTCTGGAATAGCAGCCCTTCTATAATGATGTCAGCTTAATGGATTGGGTGAAATATTCTTAGCCACACGCCTTCAACAGTTCCAAGGAGGAGCACAAAAATAAAAGCCCCACCCCTACTCAATAATATTAGTTTCAGTTGGAAATACGACATACTGATAATAGCAGCAATAGCAACAGAAATTTCCAGTTCACAAAGACTTTAAAGTAAAACAACACAAGCATAACAAATAGTTAAAAATATATATTATTGTGAAATGTCTAATGGGGGTCCATCAAAATAAAGTGCTAGCAGATACACTCTATGTTGTTTTAACCCAACTTTTGGTCAAATATGGACAAACTCAATGAGCGGGTTACATTTGTCAATGGTAGGGTTTGTCCATATTTGTATATAGTTCGGTTAAAACAGCTTTAAAATATTTTCAGAGTGTAATAAGCAGACAATCAACTAATAAAGGAGTGCGGGGTAAAATGTAACAGAGTTTTAAGGTATTTGCTCATAGCATGGCATGCTTCTGAGGTTTTCACCACAGTGTCAACAGACGTCTTCCTGCCAATTATTAAAAAAAAGTTTGGATGATAAATACCATTGACAATACCATTTTTTGCAGCATAAAAGTTTTTTATTATAGTATATATATATATATATATATATATATATATATATATATATATATAACTATATAGTTAAACTAATTAACCTAGTTAAGCCTTTAAATGTCACTTTAAGCTGTATAGAAGTGTCTGGAAAAATATCTAGTAAAATATTATTTACTGTCATAATGGCAAAGATCAAATAAATCAGGTATTAGAAATTAGTTATTAAAACTATTATGTTTAGAAATGTGATAAAAAAAATCTGCTCTCCATTTAACAGAAATTGGGGGAAAAATAAACAAGCGGTCTAAAAATTCAGGGGGGCTAATAATTCTTCAACATATATATATATATATATATATATATATATATATATATTTTTTTTTTTTTGCAAAAGTATGTAAGTAAAATCTCATATTGTTGTGATTACCATCTTCTAGTCTAAAAGATGGAACCATATTGTAAGATGTAAGAGACACAATGACAGCTAGCCGGTTTTAAGGGAAAACATGACACAGGGGGGTTATTTGTAACACCAAGTAAACAAACAAAATAATTTTCAATTTTTGGATATTGTTGGAAACATTTTTAAATAAAAAAAGTTTTTAATAGAATTTTTTTTAATGCTAATAATGCAAATAAATTAATTGTATAATAATGGATATTTGTGCCCCGCTCTCCCCTATACCGTAAGGACTGTTATTTGACAATTTGCAAAGTGGACTATTAAAATAAAATGAAATGTTGTTTTTTTGGCCTATAAAATATCATCTTACTCTGTTATCTTTGCTGCATAAGGGTTACTCAAAATTACTGAAAAATAAAATCTAGATTTAGATCTATGTTTGGATTTTGATGAAGATTTTTCTTTCTTTCAGGCTTTCAAATTCAGTAACTAATATTTTAGGTTTTATTAAAGCTCAGTGTAGTGTGCTGAGGTCCTGCAATTCAGTCAGACTGGTAATTATACCAAAGAAAAGAGGTGTGATTAGACATTGATGTGCATTTGTTTTCAGCATAAGTTTTGTCTTGAGTATCCTGTGTTTTTTCTTTTCTTTAGTCTTTGACTTCAAGAAGAAGACCAATCAGATGACTGAAAGGAAGACCAGATTTTGCTGACCTAGACAGAAGAAGTTTAGATTCAGTTGAGTGAAAGTAAGACTATAAAGATGAGCCTGTGGCTGCTGATGATTTGGGTATCTCACGCTATGGGATCAGGTAAATTATTGTTCTATTTTGATCATTTCATGCATAAAAGGGTCTGCAAAAATGCATATTTGCTAACGGAACGTTTTGTGACTACTACTAAATTGATATAACAAAGGTGCTAATGTATTTAAGTAGTTAAAATGAATAAAATTTTGTTTTTATATTTTATATATTTGCATTTAATATCCAGAAACCAAAGTATTATTGATGGGATTGATATAGTTCAATGATCTGATTTTTGTTATTCCTCAAAATAAAATACTTTTTTAATGTCAGTTGAAAATTGAGTTGTTAAAGGAAGTGAAAAATATTGACACAATAACAGACATTACAATCTTTTTCATCTAGTAACAGAGCCGTCCATCGTGACGCAGTGGCCGATGGTGGCTGAGGTGACGGCTGGAGAGGACGTTGTTTTAAAATGCAATATTATAGAGTTATACTCCTCGTGTTCAGCAGTGACTTGGCTGAGAGTCAATTCAGAAAACGCAACAATCAGCCTCACCAACAGACTTCAAATGGATGCTCATAACTCTGAATCTGTAAAAAGCATCTGTACTGCTGTTATCACTAACTCAACGGTGCAAGACTCCAGTATTTACTACTGTGCAGCTGTTCATGGCCGCTTCGCTCACATTGGCAATGGATCCAGAGTCATTGTGAAAGGTGAGATCTTGTGTATTTCAAAATAATAATAATCTCTTTATTTTGCTTTATAGTAAGATACATATTAGTAGCCTAACAAACATAAATTGACACAACACAAATGCAGTGTATAGGGCCCTGTGGTCCAGAATGGGCCTCAGCAATTTCATCAATTGACAATTTAAATTTCTCTTATTTTATCAAGATGCAATAGTGATTCTGTTATAGTTCTGTTTGTTACCATTAAGCTGCTTTGAATCTGTCTGTATTTTTAAAAACACTATATAAATAAAAGTGTGATTTGAATAAATAAAGTAAACCATGTCTGGTGGCAGATGATGGCTGATCAACCTAGAATTTGACAACTTTCCAAATTATTAGACAACAGATTTCCTAAAAATAAGGTCAAAACATAACTAGGAATGCGTACAATTTTGTTTAATTTCTCCTTTAAAACTAATTTGTAACTATGTAACTGGTTAGGTACAAAATGTCTAGTCAAAAGCAAAAACTAACCTAGTAGTATAATCACTGTTGACTACTCTGCGATTACCATTGAGGGCCTTAGAATGAAGTTTGCATTTTGTTTGTTCTATATGTAAAACCTTTATATATATATTATTTATATATATATATATATATATATATATATATATATATATATATATATATATATATATATAGTTGAATTCAGAATTATTAGCCCCCCAATTGTTTTCTCTTTTTTAAATATTTGCCAAATGGTGTTTAACAGAGCAAAGACATTTTCACAGTATGTCTTATTTGTTTTATTTTGACTAGAATGAAAATTAGTTTTTAATTTTTTTAAACAACATTTTAAGGACAAAATTATAAGCCCCTTTAGGCAATTTTTTTTTCGATAGTTTTTTCGATAGTTTCAACAGAACAAACCATCGTTATACAATAACTTGCCTAATTACACTAACCTGCCTAATTAGTTAAGCCTTTAAATGTCACTTTAAGCTTGAAAAAGCTTAAGTCTTGAAAAATATCTAATATTATTTACTGTCATCATGGCAAAGATAAAGTAAATCAGTTATTAGAGAAAAGTTATTAAAACTATTATGTTTAGAAATGTGTTGAAAAAATCTACTCTCCATTAAACAGAAATTGGGTAAATCAAATGAACAGGACAGGTAATAATTCTGACTTTAACTGTATATATATATATATATATATATATATATATATATATATATATATATATATATATATATATATATATATATATATATATATATATATATATATATATATATATATATATGATGTGAACGCACTCTTTCTGGCAATCTTGCTTTTGTGTCAACATAGTGCAGCATTCCAGCAAATTACCGGTAATGTTACAACTTCTCTTTCTGGAAAATAACCAAATTTACCAGTATTTTCAAAAAAGACTTGTTCACACATACAGACCTTTCCAGAAATGTGCCGGTAATTTACCGCAAAGGTCTGTATGTGTGAAAGGGGTTAATGACTTCAATAGGAAAAACTAAAGCTAGTTACAGATTTCCAATTTTTTCATAAGGGTTTGGAAAAAAGTTAAGGGTGTGTAAAGGATGGTAGAATTTCCATTTTTGTGTAAACGATCCCTTTAGGAAACCATTATTTGTATGGCGTTGATGAGTCAGATTCTATACCACAGACAAACCTATTTAACAGCTGCCAAATGCAAAATATCTTTTGATGTTTGGTATTTCTTTCCACCATAGTCTAATGTTTCCTCTAATCTCTTTCCAGAACACACTGTGCTTCCTGTTATTGATATTCTTACGCCGCTGATCAAGAATGCTCCTTTAGTCCCGCTTCAGTGTGTTGTGACGGGGGCCAAATCTTCACAGGTTCAAATGCACTGGTCTGTGGAGGGAAGAAAAGAGAAAGGACAGGCAGTTTTGAGACATGGAAATGATGGTGCCGTTCAGATCAGCAGGAACCAGATCCTGATCACTGCTGAGCAATGGGAGAGGAAGATACAGTGTGTGTGCGTAGTGGAATTGGGAGGACAGATCTTTACCAAATCTCTTCAGACACATGGTACAGTATAAAAATATAAAAGAGTCTAAAATACAATAGCATTTAAGGTTTTGGAGATTTTTTTTATCGCAATTAATTGATCAAATGCAAGGGGAAAGACATTTGTGTTGCTAAAAAAATTCTTTGAACAATTTCCAGTTTCAGTCTCAGTTTCAGTACTGGGTTGCAGCTGGAAGGGAATCTGCTGTGTAAAACATATGCTGCAATAGTTGGTGGTTCATTCCTCTGTGGTGACCCCTGATAAATAAAGCACAAAGTTGAATGAAAGAATTTCCAGTTTCAGTTTCCATGACACTGTTTTCAGTATTCATAATAATAAATGTTTATTTTTATATTTATCAGCATACTAGAATTATTTCTGAATGAAATAGAGCAAAACAAGATGGAGTACTAATGCTGAACGCTCAGCTTTGACAATACAAGGATTCTACACCAGCTACTTTATAAGGTACACCCTACTAGTACCAGTTTAAACCCCCTTTTGCCTTCAGAACTGCCTTAATCCTTCATGGCATAGGTTCAACAATGTACAGGAAATATTCCTCAGAGATTTTGCTCCATATTGAAAATTTAGCATCACACAGTTGCTGCACATCCATGATGCGAATCTTCGATACCACCACATCTCAATGCTCTATTGAATTGAGATCTGGTGTGTGTGGAGGCCATTTAAGTACATTGAACTCATTGTCATGTTCAAGAAACCAGTTTGACATGATTCATGCTTTATGACATGGTGCGTTATCCTGGTGGAAGTAGCCAACAGAATATGGGTACACTATGGTCATAAAGGGATGGACATGTTCAGCAACAATACTGAGGTAGGCTGTGGCGTTGACATGATAATCAATTGATAATAATAGGCCCAAAGTGTGCCAAGAAAATATCCCCCACACCATTACACCACCACCCCCAGCCTGAACCATTGATACAAGGCAGGATGGATACATGCTTTCATGCTGTTGACGCCAAATCTGACCCTTCCATCCAAATGTTGCTGCAGAAATTGAGACTCATCAGGTCAGGCAACATTTTTCCAATCTTCTCTACAATGGAGGCTGTATTGGTTCAGTGTAGTTGAAGTTTTGTTTATTTATATTTCTTTTTCTTTAGTGCACATCATAATTTACTCAGGTCGACAATCCTGACTAACACAAAAAAAAAATATTTTCCTAAATGCATTCTAGAATAGGGTATTCAAGTTTAGAAGCACATTTAAACCACTTAAAATAAGCCACACGTTTTACTTTGCATAATTTTAGCAGCTTTGCTGGCTTTAAAATGTTCATTAAAAATTTATTCTATTAAAAATCATACTGAACATTACATTACAATTAGTTACATTAAAAAATCTTGATAAAAGTGGATTAACATCTTGAAAAAAATGCATTTCTATTCAGAGTATTAAAGTTTGATGAGATATGTTGAGTTCCGTTAAATATAGAGCACTATAACGAGTGAAGCGCACACTCCGCAGTGCCCAGCTGATCGGTTACTTAGCGCCCGGCCGGAAGCGCTTATTCAGTAAAAGTCCCTGTGCATGGCGGTGTGACGCTGCACTTCTTTTCCTGCGTGTGAAAGTATCAACTGCATTTAAATGACACAAGCATAAAGCTTAATATTTGTGGTAATTTTGAGCTCAAATTATAAGAAATACATTAACCTACAGAATGATGCGGGACACAAAATGAATCCAGGTGGGCCTGTTGATTACCCCTCATTTAGAATTTTTTGTGGCCCCCGTCGCGCCATCTGAAAACCGCTGACCTAAATTACCCTTCTTCCCCATTCTGATTCTCGGTTTGGACTGCAGCAGACTGTCTTGACCAAGACCATATAGGCTGATTAGAATTTTGCGTTACCGAGCAGTTGGACAGGTGTATCTAATAAAGTGGCTGGTGAGTGTACATTGCAATAAAAACAGTACTGTTACTGTTACTGCGTCACCTTAGAATTATAAGGTTCTATCTGACATTTTTGTCAAAATTAAGTTATTGACATATTATTATTAAATGACAACTTGTTTACATTATGGGATGTTTTTTACATTTTTGTTTACAAGTTGTTTACATTTTAAGACTTTTTATTTAAAAATCAAATGTTACACATACACTGTTTGCTATGGAATGCAAAAACTTTGAAGCTTAATATCTCAAAATCATTCAGAAAGCAGACAGAACCTTATAATTACAAGGTGACGACTGGTATTCTTTAAAGAGCCCATATTATACATGAAATAGGGTCATATCTTGGTTGTAAGGGTCTCCAACAACAGTCTAATATGCATGCAAGGTCAAAAAACAATTTCATGGTCTTATAATCTGCATTTATTTTTACCTAATTATCCCAGCGACTCCTGTATGAATCGTTCAGTGATTCATTTGTTCCCAAACCCCTCCTTAGCGCGAAGCTAATCTGCGCTGATTGGACCGATGACAGTCTGTCGCGATTGGTCGACTGCCTTCAGTCAGAGAGTGAAATGGCCAATAGCTAATCAGCAATTTAAAAAGTAATCACAGTTCATACACGCTAGATAGTGTAGGCGTGGATTTTAGCTGCCACACACACACAAACACACACACCTCCGGACGAGAACGCTCCCGCTTCCGCCCGCACCCGCCAGGTTTTAGCCTTAGAACCCGCCCCGTATTCTGCCCGCCGCGCCCGATCCCGCTAAAGAGCGGGGGAGAACAAAACCGAAAATCTGTATAAACACACACACAGCACCAAGCATAAAGCTCTCTCTCTCTCTCTCTCTCTCTCTCTCTCTCTCTCTCTCTCTCTCTCTCTCTCTCTCTCTCTCTCTCTCTCTCTCTCTCTCTCTCTCTCTCTCTCTCTCTCTCTCTCTCTCTCTCTCATACGCGCGTGTGCGCACTAACACACAAGCACCAAGCAGACACATCTTTCTCTTTCTCAGGCAGCCCGCTCCCGTCCCAAATCAAACCCGTTACCGACCGCTCCGGCGATTTATTCGGAAATTTATTCCCGCGCCGCAGAAATCTGGCGCGGGGACAGCCGCGGGTATGCACACCTCTAACGTTACCACGGAGCTCCATAAACAAAGCAGCACGCGTCGCGTTTTTAACGTGACTTTGCACGCGATAAGAGAATATAGCCAGTTAACCTGATACAGTACACTCGGTTACAAGTAACAAATCACAACTAAATACATTTGCAAGCTAGAGTCAACGAGGCAACAACTTTAACCGCACGTACTTACACTTGAGAAATGGAAGAAACCCATCCTGATGTCCATCAGTCAGAGATGTATAAAGTACTAGAGACCCATACTTAAGTAAAAGTACAAGTGCTTTATCAAAAATTGACTTGAGTAGAAGTAGAAGTGCTCTTTAAGCACCATACTTAAGTGGAAGTACAAAAGTATTCAACATTTTTTGTACTTAAGTATTGCAAGTAGTTTATTTCAAAATTTACTACTCAAGTACTGAAAGTAAAAGTACAAGTATTGTGTAATGTAGTTATTAAAGAAAGCAGTCAAAATACACTAATTGTTTTGTTTATTTTAAATATCTTTTTTGGGGTACTTAAGCAGAACGAAAAGAAACAGGGCTTATGATACTGTTTTTCTCTGTAAATAGTTTCTATGGTTCAAGAACTCACATCGTCAGGCCCTTTTACCAGAAAATGCCTTCACTGATGAGATAATTCAGCATGTTCACTTACATACATACTCTCTCTTACTCTCTCTCTCTCTCTCTCTCACACACACTCACACACACACACACACACACACACACACACACACACACACACACACACACACACACACACACACACACACACACACACACAGCCCTGCACACACCTAAATGTACACTCTCTCCCCACTCTCACACATTCATACACTCTCACACACACAGTTCTCTCTCTATCTCTCTCTCCCTCACACACACATTTTTGTGTATTGTGGGGACATTACATAGGTTGCAATTGTTTTTACACTCTCTCTTACACACACACACACACACACACACACACACACACTGTTGTTTTCTCTTACTCACACATTATTCACTCTCACTCACACACACACAAAGACACACTCACACTTTGGGAGTTTTGAAGTTTGATTGGTTAATACCACAATAAACAGGAGTTCTGTCTTCTGGAAGCACTCGTGAAACTAAACTAAACAAGCAAACTAAATCCTGCTTCACAAATTCACTTGATTTTGATTTTATTGTAAAAAAACAGGAAAATGTGTATATTACTGTGTTAAATGAAAATCTGAAATATTTTATGGCTTATGGCTATGATTTAGTAATAATTGTTATTTATTTTTATCATGTTTTTAATGAAATTGGTCTTACAGTTCATATTTTCTGTAGTATATTTATTAATTCTGGTACTTTTACCATAAACCAACATCTCAACCATTTGGTAGAGGCTGATATTTTAGAAATAATGTGATGTGTTGAATAAAAATGCACTGATTGTGTTAACTAGCGACATTAGGAGTTAAGAAATGCAATCAAAAAATTTCTATTGCTTTTGTCTTGGTGTGACAGTTAAAGGGTTTTTTGTAATAAAATTTTGTCCTTTAATACAGCAGTCAGATATACGAACTGTGCCCTTAATTTGACCTGCTCAAAGAAAACACTCTTTCTGGATGTATCAAACAAAACTCATGCACAGAAGACAGCACGAGCATTTACAGCTAATAAACTCATGTCAATATTATCCCGCCTGCTTTTAGAGCGCTGACAGGCGGGTCTTACACGGCTATGATTGGTTATTGTCCTCAACAGAAAGGGCTTTAGAAATATAAGCGCTGTTCACCCATGGCGGGAAAAATACGCGATTATCACAGGTAATAGACACAGTAGAGAAAACTTAATTGCACATGAGGCATGTCTGGATCCACAGCTTTAACAGCTAAGAAGAGAGGAAAAGTTACCTTACAAACTGGCCAGCGGGTCAAATTTCCAAAGTGAGAGAGCGAGAGATAGGCAGAGGTGAAGTTTTACAACATTTCTCCCTAATAGTAAACTAGCGGCTGATATGCTGTGCCGCCTCGCACTCGCGCCTCCGCCTTCGCCATAGTATTGCGACATCGCGCATAGGAGATAAATGACGTCATCACGTAATAACCGGGTATGACCTATTACTGAACTGATATCAATCATTTTGACACCCCTAGTAACGAGTAACGATGCAGCACATAAAAAATCTATCGGAGTAAAAGTATTAAACTCATGGAAAATATATACTTAAGTAAAAGTGGAAGTAGGAGAAAAAAATAATACTCCAGTAAAGTACAGATACTGCCTTTTAGTACTTAAGTACAGTAGTGAAGTAGTTCTACTTCGTTACTATACATCTCTGCCATCAGTAAGTTACTGATCCTTCCTTTAACAAACGCAGATGAAGTATTCTTTGTAGCATGTAGCTTCCAGAAGTTTCCAGTAGTTTCCAACTGCTTGGCTATAATGCTGAGGTTTCATCTTTGGGTATCGAGACTCAATATATCCATCTGCAATGTGACTTCAATCGACCGGCATGTTTGTGTGCGTGTGTTTGTGGGTGTGTGTGTGTGTGTGTGTCTGGGTTACTGCGTCAGAGGGCGGGGCCTCAGGTTTGAAATCTCCCGGGTTTGCGCGTGCACGTGAAAAACTTTGTTTCGTTCGTACGTCATGGCGAAACACCTAATGAGTCGGTATCAAGGCGACTCGTTTGAAGCACTATGAATCGACTCTTTTATAGATGAATCAACAGTTTTAAACACTGTACTCTTACAGATTTAAGCCTTAGCTGGATACTTCACTTCACTTAGAGCTGTGTTACACACTACATGGAGGGGAATTTTCAAAAACCCATAATATGGGCTCTTTAAACAAATTCAATCCTGGTAAATGAAACATTCAGAAACATTCAAAAATAATACTAACCCAAAACTTTTGGGTCCTTGTTATATATATGATTTTTTTTATCAATGTTAGATTCAGCGAATAAATCCTTGTATTAAGTATTTTCTATACTATTAAGCCCCATGTACATTTTCTTATTTTCTCTTTCCACAGATGCTGTGAATGTATGCCATGCTGTAAAATACATATACTTGTCTCTGTGCTTAATCTTTGCTCTCCTGCTCGTGACAACAGTCACAATTTATAAACTGGGATGGGAAAAGTTTATAAAGATCTTTATGAGCAAAAAGTCTATAGTTTAAAAAAAAAAAGCTGTTGTCTCACAGCAAGAGGGTCACTAGTTCGAGTCCTGACTGGACCATTAGTCATTTTTATGTGAAGATTGCATGTTCTCCCCTTGTTCACATGGGTTTCCTCTGGGTGCTCTGGTTTCCCCCACTGTCTAAAAATATGTAGTAGAGGTGAATTTGGTATACAAAATCGGCCACAGTGTATGTGTGTGTGTGTGTGTGTGTGTGAATAGGAGAGTTTATGGCTGTTTTCCAGTTCTGGGTTGCGGCTGGAAGGCCATTCACCACATAAAACATATGCCAGAGTAGCTGATGGTTCATTCCACTGTGGCGACCCCTGATAAACCAGGGAATAAGCCAAAGCATAGTCAACAAGAGTGGGAGAAGTCAAAATCGATGTAAATCAAAAATATAGATTTTAATTTGAACTAAAATTGTAATTAAAAAAATAATACTACTGTTGACTGTACATAATATTTTTCTAAAATATTTTATAATTTTGCAAGATACTAAGCACTTTTACTAAGCTTAACTAGGTTATTTAGATTAAAGCTGCAGTAACACTGGACTTTTGTCCCCATAGACTTCCATTCATACGCACGCGAATACATCAGACCGGAAACGCTGGGTCATGCGTCAAGTTTTGCAGTTCGCTGCGGTGCAAAGTTCAACCCTGGTGATCTCTGACCTGCGAAATCGCATCACTTGACTGCCTGAGCCCAATCGTGGATCAAACATGACTTGATGGATGGAGCGATTGCTCGCTTTTTTAAATGTCTAATCATCTTGGTTAACCCCTCCTCTTTTTGCACCGTCGTATGACAGAATTTCTCTAGTGTGACCGCAGCTTAACGAGGCAATTTATGTTAATTAGGCAAGTGTGGACAACATTAATTAGGCAATGGACAGCAGTGGTTTGTTCTGTAGACAATCAAACAAATATATTTCTTAGGGGGGCTAGAAATGTTGACCTTAAAAATGTTTGATTCAAGCCCAACTTAAACAACACTTTCTCCAGAAGAAGCAATTATCATACGAAATACTGCAAAAATGTCCCTAGTCCCTCCCTAATACCTTGGGTAGTATATATAAAAAAAAAATTTTGCCTTCAACTGAATAAACTATATGAAGTTAACTATAAAGAGTGTCAAAGAGAGACCCTGGACCCCAAAACCAAGAGAGCAGAGATATATTTATGGCAAAAGCTAAAACTATATCGCGTAGGTTTGAATTAGTATTATTTTTCCTTTATACAAAATATTAGAAAATTATATAAAGATCATGTTAGATATTTTGATATTACTAACAAAGCATACATCACATGTTAACAGTTATCTGTGTGCACTGAAGCATTCTATTACAAATTCATTGCATGCAGATTAAATAAATTAGTCCAACATAACATCAGTACTACACATATTAATAAAGTCTTAGATATGCATGAGACAGACATCACTTTTAGTCACTGCAATAGCTTTGTTGTTTGACTTGCTATTTTATGAACAATTAGACTTTCAGCAAGAACAGTTGTACTTTCTTGTATTATTGTATACAGTATGGTGTTTGTTATTATCTTATTATATTAACCAATAAAAATGTATGTCATGTTGTTAAATGACAGGTATAATAGTTCTTAGGATTTTGTGTTGTGTTGTGTTAAAGATTTTGTGTTGTGTGTGGCAGGTCACAGGCAGGAAGCCCTTTTCATTTCTTTAGTGTTTTTGTTTTTTCTGTGTCCTCTTTATTGTGTGGTTTCCTTTAACCACACGGACAAAATGCAGATATGGACCTGACTTTCATACCTGTTAATGTCCACACTAATTTGTCAGCGGAAAAATGGTATCTTGAAAGTACCACAGTGAAACCACAGAGATGCATAATTTCAACTCAGAAGTAATCTGTGTGAACTGCTGATTTGGTAGAAATAAAATAGGACACAAGAATGAGAGCATCATGTTCATTATCTGAGTGACCTTATTATGTTAAAAAGAGAACAGGAGTGCAATAGTGATTACACGATTTTGCCACTTTAATCATAGAATTTATTCAATTGTCATGATAATTTTTAGTAGTTACTGTTAATGTACTGGCTTCAAAAAATGTTTTGCGTCACTTCATCATGTTTCCTAAAAAAAATTTATTTATGTAAGTAGTGGACTTTTTGAAGAGTGTAAGTAGTGGATGTCTGTCAAGCAAATAACTTTAGTTAATTATACCTATATCATACATATATTTGAAAAGATTAAATTACCATTCAAATTTTTATGTCAATTCTTTCAGAACTTAAACTGTAAAATAAATAAATAAATGTAAATAAATTGACTCTTTCTGTATTTGTGATTCATAAGTTATGATTTGTAAAATGGACATTGATCTCTGCTCTGTCGGCTTTTGATTTTGCACATTCTTTTTTATACTTATTTTAGTAGTTTAAAACAACATATTAATAATAATAATAATAATAATTTTTATTTATATAGCGCCTTTCCAGAGCTCAAGGACACTTTACAAGGAATGCAACAAAAAGATAAACAAACATACATAAGGTCAAATATAACAAACATGAATAACACAAACGAAACCTAAGAGACATATACAGGATAGTGGTGGATCAGATTAAGTGGTCAGTTTGGTAGATCAGATGCAAAGCAATTTTGTGTAAGAAATCATATTTATAGGTTAACATCAACCCAGACAATATATTACTTCAAACTATAAACCATAAGTAATTTTAGAGACAATTGTAAAAGTCACTTTTTTCAAAATTCTCAGCATAAAATTGTTTAGAGGAAAAATCAATGTATGCATTTCAAAGGTATAAAAAAAAACTTATAGCTTATAGGTTCCTATAAATGAATCTGGCAGAGACACAGCATTCACATGCTACATGGCTTTCAGTAAGTTATAAGCAGGGCCAGATACAATCTGTGGACATTTTTTATTTCTGCTGAGAATTTGATTTTAAAAATCTGCAGATTTATTTGGAATGATTTTGGGAGTATTATAACTAAAAACGTAATATATGAAATAAAAAATGAATACATTTTTAACCTTTATTTAATGTTTACAATGCAAATCTATCTAGATCCACTCCTTTGGTAAACAAAGTAAATTTCTCATATAATATGTCTACTAAAAGATGAAAACATACTTCCTTACAAGTATTGTAACTAAATCATATGAACATTTTCCTGTTACTAATATCACATCAGAACAATATTAGTGAAATTATTAAAAAACTGAATAAATATAAATTTACACAAGTAAATACATAGACTCTGATGGGCTAAAAATCTGATGTGCTAAAAATCTGCAGAAATCTGTGCGCGCAGATTTTGTGTGGGCCTAGTTATAAGTTGTAATTATGAGCTTTGCAAGGACATTTAAACTTTTATCTGAAGAAATCTCAGAATTAAAACGAAGTTTTATAAGCTAATTTTGAAAGAAGCATGTATGATCGGTCATGGCTAGCCTCGCATCATTAATCATTGCTAGTCCAATCAGATATTTTAGACCAGTCAGATGAATTCTAGCCACCAATAAAGACATTTCTAAAAAATTTCCAAATTTCTAGAAAGAAAACCAAATTTCTAGAAAGGTTGTGATTCTGCGATTGCTGAATTTAACACAAAATCAAGCTAATAACGCAAATTTAAAAGAAGCTTGTATTTTTTTTTTAATTGACACGGACCTGCAGATTTTGTCCAGCCATGACAATGTTGAAAATGTTTAACATGTTTTAAGATTTGTTTTGTCCATTCTGCATTGTTTTATATCAAATGTCATTATATTCACGTAAAAGGTGCTCATCTGATACATCAAGTTGTATCACTGCACAGTACAGCTCTTTACTTTCGGTGTGTGAGCCTCTTTAGATGCATTATGTGATGTTATCACAACACACATTTAGACAAATCCCATTTGAACAATGCTACTTTCATTGTATTGATCGCTTAAATTAGAAAGTTTTACATAATGTCTCTAATGCTAATATTAACATTGTAATAGTTTTGTTTTTTTGATCATTTATACATCAAATATGATATATGGTTAAAAGGTAAATGCCTTTTTTGCTCTTGTTTCTACCAGTGTTTTATTTATATAAATTATATAGTTCCACACAATTCCTTCATCCCAACACAAATCAATTAAGTTAACTTAATTGCTTGTACAAATTGAAGTGGATTAAACATAAAACAATGAAGTTGTCCCAAATAAAACTCATGAATTGTGCTCATTTTAAATAAGTACTTTAAACAAGCAGCAAACATATTTTTTGAGTTTTCCTATTGTTCCTTTTTTAACTTTTTGGTTAAAGAAGTATTAATAAAAAGTAATAACTAAAATAACTAAGATGTGTAAATTTGTGTAGCAAAACAACACAAGACATTTCTCAAATATTGCCACAAATTTTGAGAAATGGTGCCAAAAAAGACTTTATTTTTAGACCATAATAATAAAATCAAACTCAAAAATCAAAAATGATTCATTGCATTTACTACATTTTTTACAAGGTAACTGGTTGCAAAAATGTATATGTGCTACAGACATATATTTTAATTATATAATATATATAATATATAATATTCTTTTTCTTTAAAAAAAAAATGTATTCAGCCCATATCAATTCTTTGCAACCAGTTACCCCCCAAAAAATAGTAAATCCAATTAAATTTTTTTTTCAGCAAGGGACTGTTTCAGCATGAAGCATAAACACACAAAAACATACAGGATACAGTATTTTAACAGGTGCTGCCTGGTGATTACATTTGATTGCATGATATCAGCAACTGCCCAAACTATTTTGTGTTTAATATGTCCAATAGACATCTAAATGAAGACAGCTTGGCTAAAACAAGGCTAAATTTGGGCTGTCAGTGAAAATCTAATACAATAGACCAAAATTAAACTAGTTGTCAAATAGATTTAATTAGACAGAATTTTTATGTGTAGTTATTCATTTCAGACTAGTCTAGTTTTGGCCTATTCTTGACGTCTATTAGATTTTCATTGACAGCCCAAAATTTTGTTTTGTTTTAGCTACAACGACTATGTTTAGACATCTAAACACATTTAAAAACAAAAAACTGCTTGCTGGAAGTAGTAATGAGAATGGGAAGAATAGAAAGTAAATGAAATAAACAATCTGAATCGACAGCTGTGGACATACAGGAAAGGGTGTGAGTTTGTCAGACTCTGCACATTTCCCTCAGTTACTTTACCCAGCAAAAAGTGTTCAGACAACATGTGTGACCTTCTTTGTCTTATCTTGCTCTGTTTAATTTCTCCTAAAGGTAAGCTACAACATTTGACCCCTTATTTATGCAAATGAATATCTCTGTACCTAAATCTAGAGTCGTGTTTTTAGAGTTTCAGTACAGCATGAGTGTAATGTTTGTACAGTAAGTCTGAATCCTCTTGCAGTGATGGCGGGTACAGTCTCTCAGTTTCCTCCATCAGTGAAGGTGAGGTCGGGTGAAACTGTCTCCATGCTCTGCCAGATGAGTGAGGTAAAGTCATTCTGTCACACAGTGGCCTGGGTGAGAGTTCATCCAGTGAGTGGAGTAATAGACATTCTGCAGGACACAAAGACACCTCATGAGTCTAAAGATCTGGAGGAAAACACTGTGTGCCAGGCCTTCCTCTTTAACGCAACTGTCCAGGATTCTGGGACATATTACTGCATCGCAACAGACCGTGACCAAATGTATCTTCGTCTTGGAAATGGCACAGCTATCACTGTACAAGGTACTGGGTCACAGATTAACCCTTGCTTTTTCTCATGATTTCATTTGATTGGATTTTACATAAAAAATGATGCTAATGCAATAACTGTCAAAACTGTAATGGTATTTTACATGTACATTTACATTTAATAATTTAGCATTTGCTTTTATCCAAAGTGACTTAAGAATGAGGACAATGGAAGTAAATTTCTACCATGAGATATGCTACCAAAATGATCATTCATATTAGCATGGAAATAAATTAACAGTTCAATTTTTGTGATTCATGTGTGTATTTTTCTTTAATTATTTATGTTGTTTGATTACATGACGGGACCTTGATCTTTTCACCAACAGCTTTAGATGTTAAAAAGTTTCAAATAGTTTAAAGTGATATATTGCCTGTATTGGTGTTGTAAATTATAGTTCTAAAACCTGGTGATAAACTCCCAGTACATTTTATTTCACAACCTTTTTTTTTTTTTACAGACATAATTTCATTCATTCATTCATTTATTCATTTTCTTGTCGGCTTAGTCCCTTTATTAATCTGGGGTCGCCACAGCGGAATGAACCGCCAACTTATCTAGCAAGTTTTTACGCAGCGGATGCCCTTCCAGCCGCAACCCATCTGTGAGAAAAGACATAATTTATTTGTATATTGTTCATTATACAATCAATTGTTTCAAACTACTAACATGTCATTAAAAGTGGCTTTGTTAAACTGCACAGTTGAATTTTCAACATCAAAAGTCAATAGAGCAGAGTTTAGGGTTTCATAGAACAATTCATGAACTGAAAAAAATCATGTGAATCAAAATACGAAACCAGCGCGATTAATGGATATTTTACAGTGTAGTTAAGACACACTAAATGTGGTGGAAACATGAAAGCAAGACACAAACTCAAGCTGGCCACGCTATAAAAAAAAATAAATAAATAAAAATCTGTCACTTTATGTTTTTTTCTGGCAGCTGGGGTGCCAGAAAAAAAAGTAAAATAACGGGCATTAAATTACAGACATTTACCGTAAAAAAATAGACATTACATTACAGAAATTTCCCTAAATTTAAATTTTCAGTAAATTCCTGTAATTGTGGTGGCTTGAGAAAGTCAACAAAGTTTACTACATAAACCAATTCTTCCCTTCTTCTTCTCAGACCAATTTCTACTGAAAAACTAAACTACCAAATTGAAACCAAACCTCCAAACTTGTCTGACTCGAGTTGCTATCTTTTGATCCGACAGTTTTCCGAAAACTGACCTGGAAAGTTCCTGAAAGTGCCATTGACCTAACACTGAACCAAATTTTATGACCCCATAACTATTGGCCAGACTGTCACACAAACTTAAGTTTGAGCTCATTTAACTCAGACTACCACCTAGAACACCTTAGCAACCGCTTAGCAACCACTTAGAACACCTGAGCAACGCCTTAGGAACGACCTAGAGCACCCTAGAAACCGCCTAGCAACACCTTAGTAATCACTCAGAACACACTAGCAATGCCTTAGTAAAAACTCAGAACACCATAGCAATCGCCTAGCAATAGCTTAGAAACCACTCAGAAGATCCTAGCAACCACCTAACAACACCTTATCAACCGCCTAACAACCACTCGAAACACCCTAGCAACCACATAGTAACACCTCAGCAATGACCTGAAAAAAACCTGAACAACCACCTAGCAATTAATCAAAACACCCGAGCAACCACCTAGCAACTGCCTAGCAACCACTGAGAACAAACTAGCAACCGCCTAGCAAAATCTTAGCAAACACCTAACAATGCCTTAGGAACGATCTGGCAACCACTCAGAACGCCTTAGCAACTGCCTAGCAAAGCCTTAACAACCACTCAGAATATCCTAACAACTGCCTAGCAACACCTTAGTGACCTCCTAGAGCACCCCAGTAATGCCTTAGCAACCACTCAGAACAACCTAGCAACTACCTAGCAATGCCTTAGCAACCACTCAGAATACCCTAGCAACCACCTAGCAACACCTCAACAACTACCTAGAACACCCTAACAACTGCTTAGCAACCGCCAAGTGACCACTCAGAACACCTTAACAAACAATCAAAACACCCTAGCAATGCCATAGCAACTACTAAGAACACCCTAGCAACCGTCTTGCAATACCTTAGCATCAAACCAGAACACCCTAGCAACACCTTAGCAACCACTCAGAACACTCTAGCAGCCACCTAGCAAAAAAACATGCCAATCCATACTAGAAATCTGCTAACCTATATGTAGCTATCTATCTATGCCAACTGTTTCAAACTTGTCAATTATTTAATTTTTAAAAATACTTTAAACTTTCAGTCTAGGCTTTCCCAAGCCACCATAAAGTTTGTCTACAAACTTTACTTTTCTAGTACACCATCTGTTATTTTACCGTAAATATCTGTTATTTAACAGCTGTTATTTTATGTTTCTAACATAAAAAAGAACAGATTTATTTTTAAAGTGCACAATTAGTCACATAAGAAAACATGTTAGCAGTAGACTAGTTCATGATGCAAGAAATCAACCAAACAAAATGTGCTCTGTCTGTCTTGCAGCTGACAGCACTGAAATGGCGTCCATTGAAATCATGGCATTTACCAGCAGCAACAACCACGACCCTACAGTCACTCTTCAGTGTACACTCAGTGGATTTGCTCCATCACAGGTCAGTATGTACTGGCTCATAGGGAGCAGACGAGAAAATGGACAAACTTTATTTGTTTGGGATGAAGGTAAGGAGAACTCGGTGAAAACCCAGAATTATGTGGACATATCAGAGGAGGAGTGGAAAACAGGAACAGAAAGCACCTGCATTGTGAATCTTGGTGGACGGACCTTCACCAAAACTCTCAATCATGATGGTAAATTACTTTTCAATTATCATCCCCTTATAGCAAATAAAATATGGGATTATCTGTGTAAAATTTAGATTTCTTGACCAATCTTACAGGTTTTTTTCTATTGTTTTGCCACAAATTTCGAGAGGGTGCTCGCTGCAGAGCCATTTGAGGAGAGCTGAGCTCCAGCGAGAGGGAGCATGAGCTGTCGCTCCTCCTCCTGTAAGCTGTTTTAATGCGTACACCAACCCCACCCCTAACCCTACCCCCAGTGACATCACTCGTAGAAGAAGTGCAAAAAAGGTGGAGCTCAAGCTTAAGCTCCCCCTCGCTGGAGCTCACCTCTCCTCAAATGGCTCTGCAGCGAGCACCACTTGCAAATTTCAGAATCCTGAAAACTCTAAACAGTCACTACTTTTAACACAGACTCTCCAGTGTTCAAAATATGCTGCATTCTTTCTTTAGAGAAGCCTTGCATTTGCAGGATCATTGGTTCACACGTAATCCTTTTATCATACAAATACCACAGGAACACACAAGATATACATCATTTCAATAAACAATCATTAACAATCATTTAAAATTGTTAAAATGTATGATGCAAGTTTCATTATGGTTTAAACATAAGAGTGAAGGAACAGTACAGATAACGGAATCACTCAACTAAAGTTTTATTCATTCAATCATGACAGCTTTACTGACATGACATGACAAACAAACAAACCAAAAAAAAAAAAAAAAAAAACAGAACAGTAAAGTTAAAAGTGTTCTCACTGCATGTCCCCACATAAAAAGCTGATATTTTGACATGTATGACATGCAGTTGAAGTCAATTATTAGCCCCCCTGAATTATTAGCCCCCCAGTTTTTCCCCCAATTTCTGTTTAACAGACATATTTCTAAACATAATAGTTTTAATATCTCATAATTACTGATTTATTTTATCTTTGCCATGATGACAGTAAATAATATTTTACTAGATATTTTTCAAGACACTTCTGTACAGCTTAAAGTGACATTTAAAGGCTTATGGTTATTTAGGTTTTCTTCTAAACAACCTCAACAAATTAGGGTAATTATAATGATGGTTTGTTCTGTAGACCAGTGGTTCTCAAACTGTGGTACGTGTACCACTAGTGGTACGCAGGCTTCCTTCTAGTAGTACGCGGAGGAATTAAATATGTCATGTACATGCTACACACATTTTAAACTGTATCAAAAATTATGTACATAATAAGCCATATATGACATATAGCCTATATTTCTAAGGTAATCTGCCACATTTTTAACTGTGGAGAGTTGTACCTGCTTTACTTGGCCTACTACGCTACTATATTTCAATACTGCTCATTTTGGTAGTACTTGTAGAGACAATTTTTTTCTGAGGTGGTACTTGATGAAAAAAATGTAAGAACCACTGCTGTAGACTATTGGGAAATAATTTTGCTTAAAGGGGCTAATAATTTTGCAATTACCCTCTACTGCATGGCGTAACCATATGGTAACATGATACTTATGTTTATTTCCCTTCCACTGTGTCAATAAAACAAAGGATCAAATTATTTTAGATCCACATGTAGAAAAATCTGAAACATCACCTCCAGTGAGTTATGATGACATATTCACAACTCAATTTTTTTTTTAATCAAATTAGTTTTTTGTAAATCGTTTAAATGTATGTGTTTCCAAATGGCAACACTGTGCAACAGTGGAACGTGCAATATTGCAATGGGTTAGCTAGCTAGCGAGGTCAGCTGTAAATTTTTAAGTTGTAACAATAACAACATGAATGCTAGTAATATATTGTTGATTAGTCATGTGTTAATGACATTTGCATTATGCATAAAATCTAGTTTTAATGGCAATACTACTTTTGAATTGATATGAATACAGGGAACAGTGTATTAGCGAGCACCACCATGTTCAATGATAAGTGAAAGAAGAAAAGGACAGAACTGGCTCTTTCTGCAGATGAAAGTGAGGATGAGATGGGTTTTAGTGACCATGAGAATGATGCAGATGAGACAGTTCAGGTAAGTTAGTTCAGAGGCAGATAAGACAGGCGTAGTATAGTATATAGTATAATATATTAATATCGTTAGCCAGTAGCTATTCTGATGCATCTGGATATGCTAGACTTATTATTTATTTATCTGTATGTTGTATATATGCTAATATAATATTATGATGGTTTTCAATAATATTCAGCAAAAAAGAATGGAATAAATGAAATGAATGTTGGAATATGAGTTGTGTTAAATATGTATAAGGGGTCATATATAAGTTCTGTGTTATAGCTCATAATGCTGCAAAGTTAGACCCACTGTTAGACGTTGTTGCCACATCGCAACATTTCATAAAGTACCTTAAAAATAATTTTTTCCTGTTTTTTTTATTTTTTATTTATTTATTTATTTATTTATATATATATATATATATATATATTTTTTTTTTTTTTTTTTTTTTACAGCACTTCAAGTTTAGCCATTTTAAGAAAAGAAAAACAGTCAAATATTTTTTTTTTAACAGATTTATCATAATGTGTTTGGTAGAGGGTTAAATTTTTATTTTTTTAAATAAAAACTGCTTTTATTGTAGCCAAAATAAAACAATTAAGACTTTCTCCAGAAGAAAAAATAATATCAGACATACTGTGAAAATTTCCTTGCTCTGTTAAACATCATTTGCGAAATATTTAAAAAAGAAAAAAAAATTCAAAGGAAGGCTAATAATTCTGACTTTAACTGTATATTTTATAAATGTGAAATGCATATAAACTACTATGCAACATATGTAATTGGCATATATTTCCCTATATCATATTTCTATTTTGGGATCTCCATCAGTCTGGTCTTGATTTGAGCACAGGTTCGCTTCCACATCATGGTGGTGTTGTCGTTAGTCAGACATCTTGCCAGTGCGAATAGGGCTGACATTGGTCTGCTGTGAATGGGTTTTGTATGAAAACATTGTCTGTAGAAGTGGTTCATGTGATAAAGAACGAAGAAACAATAATTATAGAATAGTGATGAAATCTGTAGATTCAGATATTTGGGGCAAAACAATTGAACAAAAAACTGTATTCTAAAATCTGGATGGTTTTATCTTGCACAAATGTGATGTCCATAATAACATTCAGTTAAGAAATGATGTGCTTTTTGCCATTATTTTGCATTGTATTGTTTTTTTTTTCTTTACAGATATCCAGGAGACCTGCTATCCTGTCATCAGTGTAACTAGATTATTTGCATTTGTCACAGCTCTACTCTTTTACATGACATCATTAATATTAGCACATCGCTTCTAATCCCAAGAAATTCTTATGTAAGTCTAAAATCCAAAAACATCAAAGAAAATTGATTTGTTACAAAAAAATGTAATGTCAATATGAATAATACTGCGTTAAAGGACTTTTCTGTTAATGAATCGACAATCAAACTAGTGAAATAATGTAAAGTGCTCTACACAGCAAATTCATCAGAGTTAAATTCTCGGTGTTGAAGCATTTCAGAGTGAAGTGTTGATGTTAAAGAGTTAGATTTTGATAAATGAATATAATAAGAGTTAGAATTGATTTTATTCAGTGCGAAATCAATGAGTTATCTTTTCCACACTTGGTGGTGTTATTTCCAACATCCGGGAATTCATGCAGCCCCAGTCACTGAAGAATTTTCCAGACGCCATTTTCCATCTGAGGTTTAGAACAGCAACTGGTGAGTCAAACTACCTAAATGTTGGTATTTTACTGACTTGCTTAAAAGGAAATACAGTTGTAAACATATTGTTAAGTTATTAACTTTAGAATGGAGTGACAATTTTAATCTTCTGTGGTTCATTCATGGTCGTTTGTGTATCTAGCTTAACTGCATTACTATTGACTTGTTTTCAAGAATGTTTTTATATATGCTCACGCATACATAGTGCATAAAAACATCAAATGTACATGTTCAACGCATTTCTGTCACGCTTAATGCCATTTTGTGCGTTGTTACCCATCTGTAAAATAAAATGGACACTTCTCCTTTAATTCGAAGCAAACTAGCGAGGGAATCCCCGGAGCCGCCTAACGTTAGCCTACTCTGCCCGGATGCTAACGGCAACACAGGACGGTTTCCATAAGCTCTGGAGAGTTTCTAAAACATATCTGGTGAGTAAATCAACACATGCTTGCTTGTAAAAGTCTTCCTGACTAAAACATATGATTGTTTGTTATTCGTGTACGTTAATTTGGTTGTTTTAAACACCGCGGCCCTTTTAAACTGGTTCATTCGTGGCCGTCCATATACCGTTAGTCCATAGACTCGCGTGATAACGTACGCTTGAATTATATTAAGTGTTGACAACCATTAAAGTCGGAATGTTAACATTAATGTGTTTAAATGACCGCGTTTGCACTTTCTCGGACATTTAACGTTACCGAAGTCTCCCGGAAGTTGCGGGACTAACGTTAACGTTATCCCGCAAATGCACAGAGACTCCCAGATGCCCAAGTAGATGCCCGCAAATGAATGGTAATCTCCCGGAAATCGCGCGTCTCCCGCCCGGTCATTAAACACTTTGCACACCCCTCTCCACCGCATCCCTCCCAGCTCTTCAGGTACGTCGCGCGCAAGTCACCCCCACCGCTCTTCAGGTACGTTCGCGCGCAACTCATCCCATTGCTCTTCAGGGACCCATCTCTCCCGCTACCTCCCGCAAATCAACTCTGTATCCCCCGAAAATGACTTTTCCCAACTCGGGATGTCTGACGTTAGTAAGTTAGGCTATTTCTGTAGTCAGGAACATCTTAGTCAAGCTTTTTCTCCCACATGATTGTGCTTATAGACTAAACCTAGCCTGTACACAACATTTCCGTTTTAATAAAGACAATTTAGTGCGTTGTAAACAGCCACCTGTCTGTAAAATTAATCAACTGATTCATATTTGTGCAGCCTAAAGATGATACAGGTTTGATTTGTAGATTTATTATCAATAATCAACATCTGAATCAAAAGATATCTGAAAAAGTGTGAGGCATACTTTGTGATGTTCATCTCTCTTTTTTATCTGAAGGTTATGCATATGTGTTAGATACTAATGTGTTGTTGTTATTTAACAGCCACAGTTCTCTGTACAATAACACAAGACCCTGTGACGGTGGCTGATTAGAGACGGATGGTGTATTTCCAGAGTTGGTGAAATGACCAAGCACACCTTCTTGGTCATATGTGGTGATAATAATGAAGGTATGTTTGATAAAGTTCTGTATTTGTTTCACAAGCTGAGAGGGTATTAGAGCATTAGAGAATAAGAAATGACATGAAGGTGATAAGTTTTGTATTGTGGGTGAACTGTTACTTAAATAATGTTTTGCTCTTTGCTTTGCACTTTTCCTCTTCTGCTTATCCTAATATTTTAGATTATATTTGGACCTGAAACATCTGCTAGACTCCAGGAAAGGTGGCGTCAATACTGGACCTGAAAGGGCCTAACAAGTTGAATCTGGTAAAGAAACGCGCACACACACGCATGCACACACTTACATAAAATTGTAAGTTTATGAATATTTTTTTACACTGTGGCCAATATTTTGGGGAAGTCAGCATCACTAAATGATAGATAATGAAGCTCCTCTAAATTTTGCTCCAAGTGTTGTGTTAAATTCAGGATTCTGGACAGACAGCTGCCTGTTTTTCCAGTTCTAGTCATAGTGGTTAACCTAATTGTTTTTGGAGATCCAACAGTGATGTATGTGTTTTTTCTACTTTTCCATATCCTGTCACATCAACCAGCTGGGAGAGTCAAGTTGTGGATCATCATGAAGATTTTCAAAAGGTGAGTTTAGATTTCTTGAATGTTTTATTTACTTTAAATGTTCTTTTAAATATATCATAGAATTTGATTGCAATTTTATTTTCAAACATTTTTCTTAGTCATGCTGGAGTCTTGAAGAGTTCTTAGAAGAGCATCACCCTATATCCGTGCATCAGGAACCACCAGACGAGCGATCAGCAGCTACTACATCGTCATGGATATAAAGGTCATCCTGTGGCTGGGAAGCACTTCATTCACAGGACATGCTTGATGAGATTTCCTAGCTCCAGTTTGTTTTCACACAAGTTTACAGCATTTATACCTTCATTTAAACTGCCGTGTTTGATATGGAGGACCAAGGAAACACCAGAAGTGAAAGATTTGCACGCCAAGTAGTTTAAAATGTAATTTCAGAAGAAAACTATGAGTTCAGAAGAAAACTATGAGTGACGCTATATTGAACTTTCAAATTGCTCTGATGAAACATCAAGTTTGGACTAAAGGACTGAAACAGCCTTTTTGAGCACTGGTCATAAATATTTTGTTAATACTGTCTGTACTAATAAAACATTTAAAGCATATTTGACATTGTTGCATTTTAAAAACTGAATGAATTGTTGAAGTGGTGAATGTTTTCAAATAAAATGTTTTTTCTTTTGTAATTTACAGTCTATTTGACCTTTTTACCATATTTACACTCAAGAGAGTTGAATAAAATAACTATATATTGTAGTAAAAAAATGACTACCAGGCGGTGTTACATATAGTTACATTTTTAACTCTGCCCAGAGTTAGAATTAACCCTTACTTCGGTGTCAATGTGCCAACCCTTTTGAAAGTGTTGATTTAACTCTGTTTTGAGTGGACCCCATGAGACACTTTCAAAGTGTTGAAATTAACACCCATAGAGTTGTTTTGGGTCCCCATATTTTGCTGTGTAGGTCTGGCATTAAAAATCATAACAAAAATTATAATATGTAATGGTGGCATATATTTTTTTATAAAGCATGTATTCTTTTTTTTTCTTTTTAAGGTGAAGCTACCAATTACAATGTCAATAGGGTGAAAATATCTTCTTATAAAAACATAACAAAGACAATGAATTATAGTGATGTTCATGCTGAATGCTTTTCAGTAAGAAAAAACTGTAAGATAAAGAAATTACAGTAACAAATGTATGAAGATGAAGAGGTTTTTGCTGTGTGATGAGCATTTTGTTAAATCACATCTGAAGGCTCTAAACCAACAAACTGCTAATCATATGTTGATGATCAGCTGATGCATTTAATTAGCAGTGCCTGACTTATTTTTGTTAATTGTAAATGTTTCAGGTATTCTGAAGTTTTATTTCCTAAAATCTGTCCGTATTTGGAGAATGTTTTATTGTGTCCTAAATTTTTTACTATGTGTTTGTAAATAAACACACACACACACACACACACACACACACACACACACACACACACACACACACACACACACACACTCACACACACACACACACACACACCATTACTGTGTAGCGGCTAAAGTATCAGTAGAGGGGCTGTGGCTGAAACCTTGGTCATAGTACCCATTGCTCAAAACTGTTGAAAGGCCCTCTTGTGGTGAACAAGGGAATAGTCAATCAGTTAGTCAGTAATACTTTAACATGCATTTATACATACACGTACATTATGTAGGCTGTTACATTTCCCATGTATGGTTCATATTCATAAGAAAACAAAAATTCTTTATTTGCATAATTGAAATGGAATTGAAATTGCAATTGAAATGGAAAAGTTTCTTCAGTTAAAATATGGTCCTTTCTCATCTTTGTATGTTTTCACAGATGTTGAATATATTCTGAATAACCAAAACATCATGACATGTAAGACAGAAACCGTAAAAGTATTTGTGTGTGTGTGCGTGTGTGTGTGTGTGTGTGTGTGTGTGTGTGTGTGTGTGTGTGTCTGTGCGCGTGTGTGTGTGTGTTTGTGTGTGTGTGTGTGTGTGTGTGTGTGTGTGTGTGTGTGTGTGTGTGTGTGTGTGTGTGTGTGTGTGTGTGTGTGTGTGTGTGCAGTCAGAATAATTAGCCCCCTGTATATTTTCCCCAATTTCTTTTTAAGGAAGAACATTTTTTTCAACACATTTCTAAATATAAAAGTTTTAATAACTCATTTCTAACTGTTTAGTTTGATTTATTTGTCATGATGACAGTAAATAATATTTTACTAGATATTTTTAAAGACATTTCTATACAGCTTAACGGTACATTTAAAAGCTTAACTTGGTTAATTAGTTTAACTAGGCAGGTTATGGTAATTATATATATATATATATATAGTACAGAACATTAGATTATGAAAATGTGTATACATGAAAAAAAAGCAAGACTTAAATATATTCTCTCCCTTCAGTCTTCAAATATTTATACTGTACATATTTCTACACACCAAAATAAACGTTCAGTTTCTTAACAAAGTTTTTAGATTTGTTTATTTGAAGCCAAGAGGAGTCATGATCAAATAACAACAACTTATTCATTAGATTTTACTCAAGAACAGCTAATTGCAAAACTCATGCTTAGCCAGAACACAAAAGAAAGCAAAGCAAAGAATATGTGGTAATCTCAGTCTGATAAACAGTATAAGTATAAAAGTTTTTTTTTTTTTTTTACGTAATGTTTGTCATATTCTGACATTCCTTTAAATTCTTTTCAATAACTCTGATCTCCACTGACATCCTGAAAAAAAAGAAAAAATATCTGAAGATAATAAAAATAAACATTTCCAGCTTAAAAGAATACACACATTTTACATTTACCTTTATTTTTTTTGGACCTAATTTCTGTTCTAATCTGAAGTGATCAACAGGATAAAACTAGGAGTAAAAATGAAAAACATTAAATAGGCTAGTCATTTATTTTTCTGTGAACTTAAATAAATGGGGTTTTAAAACCGTTTGATACATTTTCACACAACTTAGCCAGCAACAATTTCAAAACAATAATTATTAAACAATAAATAATGTCCTTTTAACATGTCCACCAACACACAATGCTTACCATTACAGATGAAATATCTTCAGTCCCTGCACTCTGTTTACCTGTTAAAGAGTAAATAAATGATTTATTCCAATAACAATGGTATACATTCAGTGAAGTTCTGTGTTAGAAACTTTAGGTGTAAACTAGAACTACTTAATACAAACAAGTATTTTTTTAAGTTGACAATAAACAGTTTGTTGATTTCAACTGTAAAAATAGAATAATATGCATGTATAATTCACATAATTACATGATCATAAAGCCCTGCATTAATTGCATGAGTACCATTTCATTAAGCTAGTTTATAGTTTATGCTAAAATGAACCCTTTGTGTGTGTTTCTGCGCAAGGAGCGTTCTGTTAGTGTTTAATTTTCCATTTATGGTTTGTTCTAAGAGGATTTCTTTTAATGTGTGCACTTTTATGGAGGTTTCAATTACATTCATGCTGAATCACTAGAGTCCATGTGTCTACAAATATTAGTACTATATTGCTTTATTTAAAAGCAAAAAGTAGAGTTGTTGATGCAGTAGTCTCACTGTTAGTTCTGCTAACATGTATAAGTGCTATTATAGCTGAATGACTAATTAATGACACTAATGCTGAATAACACATATTTACTTAAAAAGTAATTCAGTACATTGTAAAACAATTAAAGTAAATCATTGTTCAGTTAAAAACAACTCAGAAATTCATTTGTTGATTTGCTGTAAAATTAGATTAGTTAGATCAACTTACTGTAAGTTGTTTGGGATACACAACAAAGTCAATATTAAGCATAAAATATTATTTAGTTATTGAAACCAATTTTTTTTATACAGTTATCACAAGCCACGTTTATTTTTAGGTAAGAATCTAGCATACACACAGAATCTCAACAGTTTACAGTATGTATGTACTGTAATTTACAGAAGAATAATCATATTACCATAAACTGGAAAACACTTTTCTTTTCCTTCTTTGTCTTTTTTAAACTTTTAAAATGTAATTTCAGTTGTACCATGTGTTTAAAGTCTGAAATATTTAGCATTTTGCATTCATGAAAATTTGAAAGATTAAATTCATGAATCATTTTTACAAATAATATTTGGGGGGTGCACTTTTCCCTCTCATTTTAGTCTTTTATAACAATTGCAATTTTGACGTTTTTAAACATATACTGTATAGATAAGACTAAATAAAAGTATTTAAAAACAGATCTAGAAATTTTTGTACTTGCAGTATTTGAAAAAAATTATGACTGTAATAAAAATGAAATGACTCTGTCTATAATGAAACAGATTGATTTTAAATCTTTACCTTGGCATAAACAAACAATGAAGGCTACAGCCATACACAGGAATACTGATCCACAGCTGCAGTAGATAAGCCAGGAAGTTCTTGGGAAACCTAATAATGAAACTGTAGCATTTGAAGTTCAGTCTTTTGGTCTTCTTTAAATAGATCGACAGTATACAGTAGGTTATATTATATTGTTTAAAATAAATTTCCCACACCCAAAAGAGATTTGATCTTAATTGAAAACCATTGCAAACAAGTCCACCCTTGCTATTCAAATGATAAAAATAATTAAATGAACAAAATTGCACATTTTCTCTAAGACCCTCATGATTTACTCACGCTTCAGAGATTTAGAGAAGTTTTGGCTTTTATATTCAACACAGCACTGAATTTCCTCAGCTTCAGTCCACTCGTCTGCAGGAACAGAGAGATGAGCTCTGGTGAATTCTGTGGCTGAATCAGTGTCATTTGTCCAGGCTGACTCGGTCCATCCAGAGTGCACTTTCTCTCCAATCACCCAGAAAACCCGCACCTGAAATGGGACAACTCCAAAAACCAAACACTGGAGCTGCACTGATGGTGAATCAGCTTCTGGAGGCGAGTATAAGATGGAGAGTTCTGGAACACAGTCATCTGCAGCACAGAGCATCAAGACAAAATCTCATTTGTTTTATTGATAAGACAAAGAAAAGGTGATTTGAACTCAGATTTACCTCTAGTTACGATCACCCTGGATCCATTGCCGATCATAGCCATTGAGTTAAAATGGGTAATGCAAACATACAAGCCAGAATCTTTAGAAGTCAAGTTATTGAGAGTCAAAACACAAGATTTACCATCAAGACCAAGGACATGATTCTCATAGGGGCTTATCACTGTCATGAACTGACCAGTTCGTAGATTCAGCTTCTGCCATAATACAGCATTAAAGCAGTACTGAACTTTCTGCTCAAATGTGCAACTTAATTCTACAGAGACTCCGACTGAGACATGTGCGAGTGCCGGAGACTGAAACTGGAGAAAGCCATTTATAGCTGCAAAAAAGAGAACATAACACAATTACAGTAAATAATATTAATCAATGTTAATTGAATAATAATATATTACATATGATTTAAGATTAATGTGATGAAATTCTTAAATGACACAAAATGTTCTTCTTACTTTGTACAGCTGAAATGCAAAAACATAAAATCCAACAGCACACACTGGTACCCATTTCAACTTTTTGAATGATGCACTTTTAATAGTTCCAGTCCTAATGCCAGAAGATCCTAGTATATAAGTACTTGATTTTCAAAGTACCCTGTAGGTTTTCAAAACCCTCACCAGTGGGTGGACCTGTGTTGTGAAGAATATACCACAACAGTAGTTCAAAGCTCTAATTTTGTTGTTAAGTTACTCTTTTGGAACTTGTCAAAGACTCTAAGATGTTATGTTAATTTAAGGTATATATGCCGATATTCAATAATTTAATATATTGTGATAATGAACATGCACAATATTGATATTATGACCACTTTAAAATACCACAAGCAATGATTTATTATATTAATAATGATTAATATTGTGTTATTGCTTAAAGATTTATTTTCATGAATAAACATTTTCAAGTTATTTTGGCCTACAATATTGAAAATTATGTGAGTTTGACAACTACAATACTAAAGAATCATTTTAGGTGATGTACTTTCTTAGTTAATCCATAGTAACACATTAAAACTTCGTAATCATTTTATTCATTATAGTTAATTAGATTTAGTTGCATTTTTTAAATTAACTTTAACATTCATTCATTCATTTTCCTTCGGCTTAGTCCGTTTATTCATCAGGGTCACCACAGCAGAATGAACCGTCCACTTACCCAACATATGTTTTACACAGCGGATGCCTTTTCAGCTGCAACCCAATACTTGGAAACATCCGTACACACTCATTCACACACATACACGATCAATTTAGTTTATTCAAATCATTGTACCGCATGTCTTTGGACTGTGGGGGAAACCGGAGCATCCAGAGGAAACCCACGCCAACACTGGGAGAACTTTAACATGTTACTATAAAATGTTTTTTGCTCAATCCTGATTGTATTGCATTAACTAGTGTTTATTAATGATATTTTAATGAGAAGTATACTTTGTCATCCTTTTGCATTTATATACAGGATAAAATAGAATTAATAATGTTTTATTTATTATTAATGAAACCTGTTTTGGACACAAGGGCTGCCAAATACAAAATACACAATAAATAACAAAATAAAAAATATACTTAAATGAAAAATATATAAAAAAACGCCCAGAGGAAACCCACTCGAATGCAGGGAGAACATGCAAACTCCACACAGAAACGCCAACTGACCCAGCCGAGGCTTGAACCAGCGACCTTCTTGCTGTAAGGCAACAGCACTGCGCCACTGCGTCACCCTTGATTAACCATTACTATACTGAATTAAAGTCAGTGGTTACAGGTTATCAGATTTCTCCAAAAAAGAAATGAAACTCAAAAACTCATAAAGCTTTCTTCAAAATCTCTTCTTTTGTGCTCAACAGAAGAAACTCATAAAGAATTTAAAGTTTTGATGAAGTGAAGTTTTTAAACTAATTTCGAGAGGAGCACGTGATATAATTGACAGCAGCTGGCCACCTATCTACACTCATTAGTTAGCCAATCAGATCTATCCTAACCCACTATAAGTAGCCTAGCTAGACATTACTCCCTTATCTTCGTTTTCCGAAGAAACAAACGACAGGTCCGCTCTAGCTTCTCCAAAGCTACTCACGGACAAAACGGATCCTCCACATCTCCTACTATCCTTCAACTACAATACCACACCACCTTTACTACCATCGTCAGCAACTACAAAAAATGACAACAACAATAGCGATGGCGGCGGAGATCACAACAGCATCAGCGCAGCTACATACAAGAAAGAAAGCTCCGCGCTCCATGAAACACCAGCCCCGTCTTAACAACAACCAGCCCAGCATGAAAGTCAGCTCGAGACCGAGGCTCCAACAAGAGGCCGTAGGCCTATCCACTCCAGCCAGATCTCAATGCAATCCCCAGTTCCGCTACGTACCTTCTCCAGCACCATCATGCGTCTCCCATATCCAACAACGACTGTCACTGAACTCCTCCAAACTCCTAGATGCCGGGACCACAAAGCCGCTGCATTAAACCCAAAAAACTTGCGAATCCACGTCTTCACCGCCACCCCCAGGACATAACACGCTCCTGCCACACCCCCTATCCTAAACAGACATTAAACCCGCAATCTCTCCGCCTCCCCGGAGAATCAAGGAAAGGATTAAAAAGCAATATTGGATTTGGACATATTGCAGCTATCATAATTCTAAACACGGATAAAACCAATCTCCCGGACATTAAAGCAACTCTTTGGAATCCCACCTCACCTCTTCCAGCCTGCAGCCCGATTCCAGTGCACACTCCAGTCCTCCTCTTTCAGCGATCCTTACAACCTACGGGCTACGCACCCCGCCCCTCTACCTTGCGTATCATTGCTTTTTCCCCTCTAATTTAAACAAGCTCGCAGCTACTGCGGCGGTGCATACGCCGTCAGCCAAGTGCTAAGCCTAGTGAAAACAGAAATTACTTGTCGACTTTTGTCAATATGTTTATGCTTTTACTGAATTACGTTTGTAACTGACCAATTTTCTGAATTTCTCATTCCAGGTTTCGTCTACTGAAGCACAGCCGATCTCGGCGCTCCCTTCCCACAACCTCACTAGCCGTCCACCAACGCTAAACCAGAAATCACAGAGCAATTCCCTGTTAAGCACATCCATACCAGCCCTACTGAAATGGGCATTAGAACGTTTCCAAAAATGTCTAATAACGGCTCTTTCATCTCCTCATAATTCTGCCTTTTCAGCTTTAACAGCATGATTCTGCCTAATAAATATGCTTAATTTATCACGTTATAAACCAAGCAATCTATCTAATCTAGACGGCTGCAGCGCTCGGTTGCAATCAACATTACACCTGCCACCCGATTTCTGGCAATCGGAGGTCCCAATTACATTTCGTAGTCCGTTTAACATTCGGATGCAAAAGTAGCCCACACATTTATGCTTAAAAACGATCCGCTGGATTTCGCCAATAACTACAGCGTTTGCACATAATTCACCTACAAGTTCCCCGTTTCTCTCTCCCTAATATCCCCCAGCTAAACTAGTGACCGGTTTTCTAATAGGCTATTTGCATTCTCATTGCGGAAGAACCTCCGGCTTAAGCACTTCTATAATTCTTAAGCATCAATTTGGAGTGATAGAAACTCAAGCATTAATAAGCTACTTGAATAAATCGACAAATCAGTCCCCTTTTATATTCTGGAACAAAAATATCACGCTAAGCATAAACTGCTCTCCATCTTAGAACATCAAACACACATGCGCATTATCCCGCAGGGATGCCTTTCGTCACTCACCTACTTCATCTCGCAGCAGCAATCTCCGGAATAGAAGAGAAATGATCTAAATCCGATTTTGGCCGTAACAAACTCTGCCTGAAGAGCGTCGCGCACCAGACGCGCCGACGGCGCGGTGACGCGGCGAGCTTATGACAGAGAATAGTAGATTAATGCGCACCAGACTCACGCATTCATACTTTATCAATAAACTAATTAATTGTACAAATAGCGCCCCGCGGCGCGGCAGAATACGAAGTGTCATGAATTGTGGCTGGGCACCAGGCCCGGATTGGCTAATCGGGAGGACCGGGAGATTTCCCGGTGGGCCGGTCCGTTTTTTGGCCGCGAGGGCCGGGGTCCGTTCTTCGTACGTGGATTACTCAGTTAGCTGGATTTGGATATTGACGATTTGACACGATCCGGGATCGTTTCGTTCTTCAAAGCTGATCCGAGAGTTGTTGTCATGGCAACAGTTCTGCTAGGTCAAACCTGATCGGGAGCAGGTTCAATTCATATAAACAGGATTAGATCGGCTTAGTTCAAGCAAAGATAATACAGAAAGTATGTACCGAATTCTGATATTTTCTTACAGTAGTAGTTATATACACTTGGTAAAATAATGCATAATTTTTAAATATATATATAAAGTTATAGTCATTAATAAAATAAATAAAGTTATACATATTAATAAAACGTACGCAATCTGCACCCTCGAAATGAAAGTACAAAGACTGCCATCTGGTGCAAAGAGAAAACTTATTGATATGAACTTTTTAGATCGCTTTAGAACAAATTGTGTATAATAGAAATGCACAATATGTGACTTTTTTTAAAAGCAATAATACATTTATGCAGTCATGAACATGTTTTGATAGTTAATATGCCAGTGATTTGATGCTTCACAAAAGTTGCAGACGCCTTTACCAATATCAAAATGCTTTTGTAAACAACCAGTTATTCTTTACACCGATTAAAAAACGGCTACTATAATAAAGAAAATCTTCTCTAAATGTAGAACTAAATACATTGATTTGCATTGAAATGCATGATGAATACTCTTGTCTTGACAAATGAAAGTGTAAAGCCTGCAGCTCACAACAAATGTGGAAAGTTCTTGCGTGTCATATTTAACAAGCCGTTTACTGCTAATTTGATGTAATTTTGCTCACATGGATAATTGAATATTAATCAGATGATGTCATTACGCTGCTGTGCCGTCAGCCAATCGTTGCATTGCTGATCATGATTTCGAGGATCAATAGATCTGTCCTTCATAACACACGCAGCGATCTCAGATCAGTTCATCCAGACATTCTAATCTGATTCGCGAACTTGTTTGAAGAACCAAATTAGCGAGAGATCAGTTATTAAGATTAAACGATCCAGAATCTGCCAAATCATCTTAGATCATTTAAGCGAGGTACGAAGAACGGACCCCCGGTGTCCCTAGCTCCAGAATCTGTTGCTCTCAGCAGTCACACTTTTTAAATTTATTTATTTACTTGACCACAGCCTTTTTATTCATTATTTTACCGCAACTCTTCTCTTTTCGTCTGTTTTAATGATTATAAAACTTAGTTGTGTCTCCTTTCTAAATACAACTAATGTGGTCCAGCGGTTAGCACGTTAGGTTAAGATGCCGCAGACCCGGGTTCGATCCTCCTTAGAGTAACTATGTTTTCAATTTTATTGTTAAGACATATAATAACTGTTAGGGTTGTTGAACATTTAAAGTTCTAAAAGAGCTGTTTTCTCAAAAAAAGACGTGATAGTGTCATTAGAAACTGATTTGGAAATGACCTTATTTTAATATAGTCAGTCGTGAACTGAGGTGGGCCGGTCTGAGGCTTGAAACTCCAGGGCTGAAAAGGAGTCCCACTCCGGCCCTGCTGGGCACTACGGACAGCCGCATTGACTTCCTTAGTATTTATTTCCTTACTGTGAAAGTCAATGGTTACAGGTTTCCAGCTTTCTTGAAAATGTTGTCTTTAGCGTTTAACACGGGAGTCACCAACCTCTGAAACTAAGAGCTACTTTCAGGCACCGATTAACGTGGAGGGCTACCAGTTTGATGAACACTTCTCAAATAACAAATTGCTCAATTTACTTTAATTATAATTAAGTTTTTGGTAATAATTAATAATATTCATCCAGGTGAAGTCACTGATCATGTTATGATTCTCTTAAAGTTACCAACAATAATTTAACAGGGTAGGAAAATACCCCGTAATTAATATATCAATGTGCAACACTATTTTATTTATCTTTGCAAATATTTACATTTTTAAATGATTACTTCTATATTAGAGAAAGCTTACTTGTAAGTGGCGTTATGGTGAGCTATTTTAGAACAGGCCTGTGAGCAACACACGAGAGCCTCGTGGGCTACCTGGTGCCCATTGGTACCATATTTGGCGACTCCTGGTTTAACAGAAAAGAATTCATAAAGGTTTGTAACCATCAGGTGACGCTTAAAGCATGCGACCTGCTTATACTTACTTCCTTAAGCGCTGGAATAGAAGCCATCCATTTAGTATGGATATACAGCCATCCTCAGTATATCCTTTTTACACAGATGCTGCCCCCTTCGTGGGGTATATTATCGGGGCCGCCAATGCGCTTCTAACGGGCAATATCGTCAATACATTCCAAAAAAAAAAAAAAAAATTACTGTTGTACATGTTCCTAGTTGCATAGGAAATCGCTGACTCTCTTTTTGCTTTATTTTCAGAACTGGTATCAGAAGCAGAGCCGCAGCTGACTCCATCTCTCCTTTTAAGATGATAATCCCATAACCACAGCATACACAATTTGCGTCAGCATTCATTTATACATTTTAAGTTACCCCAGAACACCTCATCAGTTTCTCACTGCTCAACACATCCACACATTCCGTTCAATACCATTTTTGGTTTCAAAACACCTTAAAGTCATAGGACTATTCAGGCTTCCCACCAGATTCATAATCCAGTCACTCATTCAGAATTGGAGCCACCACCACAGCAGCACACAAGGGCTATCGTAACAACACATACAAACACTAGGAAGGTGGTCTCCCGACACCTTCAAATCTTATATCTGACTCAGCCACAGCCATCTCAGGGAAGCTCAGAGGACCCTCACCAGCAGACGCAGTAATCCCAGCGGCCAAGGGCATGGGCCTAGTCCAGGGAGAGAATACGACCCAACCATACCAGCTTCCCGAGGGCAGAGGAACTACCCAGTCTCCCAAGGGCGCGGGCATGACCCAGCCATCTAACTTCCTTTTCTTCCTTCCAGCTGATTTGCACTCAGCCTTCTCCCCCTTTTCACTCACCTAACTCCAGTAGGAGTTCTCTCCCTGCCCAGGCCCCCTTGTCAACCCTGCTAGCCTAGCTTTTATTTATGTTCATTTTTGTTTATTTCTCACACTTATCTTTTATTTTTTAAATTTATTTATATATATGTATATATATATGCACCCACGCATATAAATATATATTTATATATAGTGCTGTCACCCTCAAGCTCTAACTCCCGCGGAGTTAATCCCGAGCACCGGACCCCCGCAGGGGTCATCGCCCAACTGCCATTTCACCCTCCAGCTGGGGCTTCACCGACCATTCCTTTTCCCGACTCCAGCTGGAGATGGCACATACAGCTCTCTCTCCCGCAGGAGAGCCAAGAGCTTCGACTCTCGCAAGAGTCAGTAAAAACGCCCCCCCCAAGGCCCTAGATTACCCCATTATATATTTATATATCTATATGTTTCATATAAATATATAATTATATATAGTGCTGCCACCTCCCAGCTCTATCTCCGCAAGGAGTGTTCCTCGAGCAAATTACTCCTTCGGAGTCCCCGCCCCCCCTGCCCCCCTTCACCCCCCTCTCCAGCCGGAGTCCTTCCTTCCCCTTCCTTTATATGACTCCAGCAGGATTCCCGCCCACCCCATGGCTCTGACCCCCGCAGGGGTCTCCCCGAGTCTCTACTCAAGCAGGAGTATTCACAGCCCACGCCAACTCTGCTCGGGTTCCCGCAGGAACCTGTTTCACCCTTTGCTCCAAAGGAGCCCTCTTTACCTTTTCTTTTTCAAATAACTATATCCAGCAGCCGGATATAGCATTTCAAGCCTTTTGGGGAGTTTCTTCGAATACACGGCTGCTGTCCCGAGCTTCATGCATTTGGGGAGCTCTCGAGAACCACCTGATCTCGTACTCCCCTCACATGCTCTATGGACCTGGCGGGAGCCCTGGGCTCAACTATCTCCGAGCTCAGGGTTCTCTCCCGGGACAGCATGCCAAACCTGCTTACAGCTGTCAAGCAATATCTAAGTGTGAACTCTTGAAGTGAAGTTTTTAAACTAATTTCGAGAGGAGCACGTGATATAATTGACAGCAGCTGGCCACCTATCTACACTCATTAGTTAGCCAATCAGATCTATCCTAACCCACTATGAGTAGCCTAGCTAGACATTACTCCCTTATCTTCGTTTTCCGAAGAAACCCCCCATCCACCCCTTTCTCCTCCTTTTCTCCTTTACAAAAAGGGGAGCTCTCGAGAACCACCTGATCTCGTACTCCCCTCACATGCTCTATGGACCTGGCGGGAGCCCTGGGCTCAACTATCTCCGAGCTCAGGGTTCTCTCCCGGGACAGCATGCCAAACCTGCTTACAGCTGTCAAGCAATATCTAAGTGTGAACTCTTGAACTATCCTTTAAATCACTTTTTAAATACAAATGTGCATTTTAATTTGATTAAGTTAGACTATGTATATAACACCACAAATGTGGTTGTTTATGTCCAGGTAGAAAGGGGAAAAATACCATCAGAGCAGGCCTTAACCAGTTTCATATAAAGGTTAGAGTAAGGTTGGTGCATTTGCTGCAAAAAGTGGGCAGTGAAAGCAGGTGTTCAGTCAGTTTGATGAGACCCTCATCTCATCTAACATCCTGTTATGCAGCTTCTGTTTAACCACAACAACTGAAGTGAGAGGATGTTGCTGCAGCAAGAGTCCAAACGCTGTGTTGTTTCAGACACTGTGGTTTTTTCAGCCCATCACAAACATTATGCTCTCTACATTGTTTGTTTGATCTTGATTTTTGATTATGAAGTGGATTGTGTCTGTTTCTAAAACTGTAAACGATAAAACACTGAAAAACATGTAATAAGCTAAAAGTGTTATATGCTACCTAATCAAAAGATTAAGCACAACTTCAAGCCAAATTTAAATATTAAATTATATTTTTAGGTAGAGTTCAATTCAGAATTACTTTCCCTCCTCAGTTATAAGCCTCTGTGTATTTTAACTAGTTTGTAATAACTGACTTCTTTTATCTTTGCAATGATGATCGCACATAATATTTTACCATTTTTAAGATACTAATATTCAGCTCAAAGTGTAATTTAAAAGCTCAACTAGGTTAATTAGGCCAGTTTTATGGTAATTAGACAAATAATTAAAAAAAATATTGCTTAAGGGGGCTAATAAAATTTATCTTAAAATGTCTTTAAACAATTCACAGGAGAGCTAATAAATTTAGACTTGATCAAAAGAATGTACATATAGGTCACATCACGTATGCTAACACGACATTATAAGTATATTTCTGAGAGGAGCATGAAAAGTAGACTTAAAATAGATGGAAGAGTACTACTTACTGATAAATGTTTTGTTATACCACTATGAAACCATACTGTTTAAGTTATTATTATTATTATTATTATTATTATTATTATTATTATTATTATTAGAATGCAGTCAAAAACGTCATTTCATTTCAAATAAAAGTCACATTACTGAAAAAAACATTTTCAAATACACTTTTTATTAGAAAACTTTATATTTAAATAATAAAATACAGAGAACATAAATCACACAACGAACACAGTTCCTAACTAATAAATATTCATGATTATAGACACTTTAAAAACATTTAAAAATGTAGAAGTCAGGCAGTCTTTTTGTATAAAGACGCACATATTCACACTGTGTTTGAGATTGTAAACTTTCATTTCAGTTTTTTTTTTCCCAGCGCGCTCAAGCATTCCTTTCTTCAATCTGAAAAAAGAAAAATCAGAACAATAGTCACAAGGGCCTTTGAGAATTATCATTTAAACAGGTATCTACTGTTTAACACACACGTTCTGATTTAGTTTTACCTTCATTCTTTTGATGGACTCCCATCTTGTTCATGACTAATCAGATCCCCAGAGAAACCCTGCACAAAATTTAAAGATGAAAATTGATCTGTGGTTAAAAGCTGGTCAAAGAATTTGCTTTGTTTAAACATTTACATTTAATCTGCTGGACACAGTTGCATTTAGGATTTTTAAAAACACACAGATCATAAATAAAATAGTACAAATTCATGTAAATAACCCACTAAACCAAAACGTTAAAAATTGCTTAGAGACTTTGTTGAATATAACCTAGTTAACACATTCTCCAAAAACATTTAGTACATTTTTGACATGCGAGATGACACCAATGACTTATTCCATTTTGCGTTAATATGAAATTAGAGATACAGTCAGAAAACTAGAAGCATAAGCAGCACAATGATATTGCTAACAGTCAGATTAGTCATTATTACCGTAGCTGAAAACCTATTCATCAATTTGACAGCACACATGCTGCAAAGCTTCATAATGCAAACACAAATCACAAAACCGGCTGCAAATCCTCACAAAAACACAAACAGAATTTGTATTACTGTATGTTGTCCTTTTCATCATTATCCTGCTAAAAGGGCTAATTTATTTTTTTTGGAATATTTTGTTGAATATTATTCTTATCTGCAATTTATGTTGACCCTGTTTTAACAATGAATCAATGCAAATTTATTCTTATTAACCATGAACTTAGTAACAACGGTATTTATCTAATAACAATTCACAGTTAAATGTCAGTTTATTTGGGTTTTTGTGCAAAAGACAAAGGAATCGTTTCATCTGTGCTTAAATAAACAAAAACAAAAAAACTGACCTTCATGTCACTAACCACTGCCTATAACTGTTTTCAGTTCATCCCCTTTAAATATTTCCATTGTAGTCTGTTTGCATGTGTTGTAAGGATTTGCAGCATGTTTTTCTATTTGCTTATTAGAAAACACTGGGTTCTAAATGGTTCCTTTATGTTGTCCCAACACAAATCAATTAAGTTTATTGTTTTTTACAAATTTAAGTGGATTGAACATAAAACAATTATTTTTCCCCCAAAACTCAAAAATTGTGTTAATTAATTTAAATAAGTAGCTTGAACAAACAGCAAAAATCTTTTTTTGAGTGTGTGCTTGCGTTTCGAGGGTCGTGCAGAAGTCTGTCTGTGTGCAATGCGCATATGACAAAGAAGTTTAATTTATCTGCTTGTATTTTTTTTTCATGTGATGTTTTTTATACAGGTAATTGCAGTACGTTAAGCTCTCTCGGCCACCGTATATTCTACATTTTAGAATACTTTTAAAACAGGGTTTTACACGGTTTCACGAAGAGCAGATTCAATGACTTTCAAGGTCCTTTTAAAGCAACATTCATTTGAAATCAAGCACCTCTGTTATACATACCCCAGCATAATGCAACGCCATTAAAGTCCTTACTGTACTGAACATTTCACTTACACAAATTCTTCACAAATTTTGACTATTTTAAAAAGTCTTTTTCAAAGAACTTTAATAAAATGTGTTAGAATTCAATATTTAATGTTTTTTGTAATACTGATCAAATGTGCATTATTTATCAGTGTTATTGGACAAGATTTAAATTTTAAGTTTTTTAATTTTAGAATTTCAAATCTTTTTTCTTCTGTTTTTGACAATTAAGTACATCCATAAACAAATTTAATTTCAAATTTAATTCAAGCACTTTCAAAAACAAAATGTTTTATTTAAACTACTTCCGATGCCTTGAATGTTTATGTTTGAAATTCCAGTACTTTCAAGAAAACTTGGAAACCCTGTTAAAATATTCCAGAACTACTCACAAAAATGTTGGCCACTTTTATATTTTATCTTTTGGAACTTGACAGTAACTTTAGTTGTTAAATATTATTTCAAGCTTTATTACATATAGTATTTGAAGCCTGCTATTTTACTAAAGAGCAATAAAAATTATGTCCAGGAATTTTTTTTTATTAATTTTAGTGTTTCTCTTACCATAACAGATGGAAAATCTTCTTTAAGACTATTCTGTTTACCTGTTAAAAAGAAAAAAAACAAGACATATTTTGTATTAGCAGTTTTACCCTCCTGACTATTATTTTACAGCTATTATTCATGCATACAATGCACCATACTATGTTACATTACACATTTTTAGTTGAGAAAAGTATATTACCATATGAAATTTTGCGGTGAGCATCTTTTCTTGTGAGCCTAAAGAGGATAAAAATATTGTTACCTTTTATTCAATTCACAGTGTTGTTTATTTTATATGTGGAAGGTGTAATACTGACCCTCTGGACTTTCTGGTCACCGAAATATCTAAAAATTGTAATGAAGAATCCAACAGTAAATGTATGATATATTACAATAATAAGCCACGATGGTGATATAATCATTCAAATCCTTCATATTTTTAATTGATCTATAAAGAAACAAAGCAAAATCATTATGGTCTAGTCTAGTGTTTTTACATTTGGCCATAGATCAAAGATGAAAAAGGGGTTTTCAAGCAATAAGTAAATGAATAAACTAGTGTAATACAGCTTTATTTACCCTCTTTGTTCATTACAATATGTCCCATTTATTTAATGAATTAACTAATTGATTTTTTAAAGGGGGAAAATAGAACTATTATACTTTTTTATTTTGATTCAAAAGACACTCATTGAAATGTCAAATAGTGTAACAGCAGTGTACATATTGTACCAAACAATCTTGCCAGGTATTTAGAACAAGAATTATTGCATGGCATAATAATAGTCTTGATGCATTTCTGAGGATTACAATGCAGCCCTAAAATAATGACTGAGTAATTAATTAATTTTGAAGCTTCACTGAAGCTTTCCCACTAAACTTCAAATAACAAGGTTTTACTATTTGTCACAAAAATAATTTAATCATTCATGTTATAATATACAAGTGAAGTCAGAATTATAAGCCCTCCTGAATTATTAGCTCTCTTGTTTATTTTTTCCCCAAATTCTATTTAACTGAGAGAAGATTTTTCCATCACATTTCTAAACATAATAGTTTGTTCTGTAGACTATTAAAAAAAATATAGCTTAAAAGGGCTAATAATTTTGACCTTAAAACGGCTTTAAAAATTTAAGACTGCTTTTAATCTAGCTGAAATCAAACAAATAAGACTTTCTCCTGAAAAAAAAATATTATCAGACATACTGTGAAAATTTCCTTGCTCTGTTAAACATCATTTGGGAAATATTTAAAAAATCCAAAAAAAAAAAATCAAAGGGGGCTAATAATTCTACCTTCAACTGTATATTTTCATGTATCTTTTTTTCCAGGGTAAAATAACTTTCATTTTTACGCAAATATATATGTTTCACTGAATGGTGCATGGAATATTACTTCACCCATGTTTTTATTCATTTACTTCCACAAAAGTTATATGAAACATTTAACTTTACACTTTAACTAGTGTAAATTTAATGTGCTTTATTCCAAAACAGGACATCTCATCTTCGAACCAGCATACAAGCATTCTGAATAAATTTGAGCATTTTATTTATTTCAAAAAGTCCATAACGATCCAGACTTTCACAAGACTTAAATTCTAATCACTTCAATTCAGGTTTGTATTGCATTTATGTGATAGATAAGTTGTTGGTTCATTCCGCCGTGGTGGCTCCAGATTAATAAAGGCACTAAGCCGAAAAAAAATTAAATGAATGAATGAATAGCACATTTCACAAATAAATTGGGTATATGCACAAAATTGGGTATATGCACAAAGACTTTAAATTTTCAGTAACCCATTTCAAGCGCGTCTGGTTAACTGTTGTGCCATTACAAAATAGCAGTGTTTAGAGTTTGTTTTCTTTAAAAATCTATGATTTTCACTGCCTGATTGATATAAAGTGGGTTTCAGAATGTACAAGAAGCACTGCATTAAGTTCCATTGTTCCTTTCATTTAAATATGAACATTTATTTTACCACGGTATTGTCAATGAAGCTTCTACTCTTCCAAAGCAGCCTCACAAAAAAGTGCACGTTATACAAAAAAGCAAAAAAAAAAAAAAATCATTTAGTTAGTTACAACTTAAGTTAGTAATAGTTTAAAAAATTTTCTTTGGGGTTAATAACATTTTAACTAACTGTTTAACTGTTAGACTTGGACTTTATATAAATATGCTATCATAACCTGTATTAAATTTAAGTGATATCTATGTATATAATATACTTTTAGCAAATACATTTGCTATAAAGGTATCTATTTAGCGGTTTCACTTCTTTACTGTCATGGTACTTAACATTGTGGATAAATTATATGTTGGATGGACAACTTCACTAATTACTAATGTAAAATCCGATTAAGGCATGACCAGCATTCAGAGGCGGGTGTGAACTTTTCAAATTCAAAGTTTATCCAGTTTAAGTTTCATCTATTTGGAATTTATAAAAGCTATTACTTTTAGTATTTACAATAATAAATAAACCTAGGAAATCAGAATGTTAGATCTCACCTCGGTGTAACCCCACAGATATAATGATGGTTACTATTATTGTAAGAAGTGCTGCCACACAGCCGGCGTATAGAAGCCACGAGTGGACTGCTTGTCGCTCTGAAATATAAAAATAAGCAGAGAAATGGAAATTAAAATCTATAATACTAAAACAAAACCTAAAGGTGTGTAATGCTTTGTAAACACTGTAAAACTTGTTTTTTTGTGAATTTCTATTCATTATACACTCTCAGAAAAATTAAGGTCCGTATCAATACCTCAAGGGTACATATTATTACCTAAAAAGTACAAAAGTGTTCCTCTTAAAAATTTTTTTGCTACAAATATATACTTTTGAGGTACCAATATGGACCCTTTAAGTACAAATGTGTACCTTTTGAAATGGTACCATGCAGTGACAGTTAAGGCACCTTAATTTCTGAGAGTGTACAATACACTATTAAAAAATGTGTCAAATAACTGCATCAATTATAGATTTTTTACATTTATTTAAAAGTAACTAACAAACTAGATTTTTAACTCAACAGACTTTTGTACATATTTACAGAATTACATTTGGTTACTTTTCATTCAATCACAATTTGTCATTTCAAAACATTAAAATGAGTTTTCAGCTGTGGATTTTCTACAACATTGATAAAAGCTATCTTTCATTTTACTAAATTGAATTTAGTCTCAGCTGATTGATATTTTTGCAATATAAAAAATCTAATGCTATAATGGATGTTTTTACTTTCATCACTTACCGTATTGCTTCAGAGATTTAGAGAAGTTTTGGCCTTTATATTCAACACAGCACTGAATTTCCTCAGCTTCAGTCCACTCGTCTGCAGGAACAGCGAGATGAGCTCTGGTGAATTCTGTGGCTGAATCAGTGTCATTTGTCCAGGCTGACTCGGTCCATCCAGAGAGCACTTTCTCTCCAATCATCCAGAAAACCCGCACCTGAGATGGGACAACTCCTAAAACCAAACACTGGAGCTGGACTGATAGTGAATCAGCTTCTGGAGACCAGTAAAAGATGGACAGTTCTGGAACAGTTCTGGAGTCATCTGCAGCACAGAGCATCAAGACAAAATCTCATTTGTTTTATTGATGAGACAAAGAAAAGGTGATTTGAACTCAGATTTACCTCTAGTTACGATCACCCTGGATCCATTGCCGATCATAGCCATTGAGTTAAAATGGGAAATGCAAACATACAAGCCAGAATCTTTAGTAGTCAAGTTATTGAGAGTCAAAACACAAGAATTACCATCAAGACCAAGGACATGATTCTCATGGGGGCTTATCACTGTCATGAACTGACCAGTTCGTAGATTCAGCTTCTGCCATAATACAGCATTAAAGCAGTACTGAACTTTCTGCTCAAATGTGCATCTTAATTCTACAGAGCCTCCGACTGAGACATGTGCGAGTGCCGGAGACTGAAACTGGAGAAAGCCATTTATAGCTGCAGGTAAGATAACACAAAAGTTAGCTTAAAATGTTTCAGAATTGTGTATCTTATGTCTCTCACACACAGTTAAACTTTGGTATAATGTTAAAATCTTATATGCTATTAAATGAATACTTGTGATAGAATGTTCTTAAATAAAAATGCATGATAAAAATAAATATATCTAAAACTTACTTTGTGAAGCAGAAAAGCAAGAACAAATGAGCATCCAACCATGCAACCAGGTATCCATTTGAACAATTTCAAAGAGTCTGATGTACTGGTTTTGGCATTCTCAAAATCAAATGACAGCCTTTCTGACTGAACATGAGCTGCAAGGAGAAACACAAAAAAGCTAGAATCCCTTACAAGTCTCCAGGGGGTGGACCCTCAATGACTATAATGTAAGTCACTTGTGCAAACACTACCCTGGAAAGACCTGTCTACAATGCGCATCAATGTTCCCAATAGTCCGTAGAGCTCAAACTTGCAAACTAATTCAATAAGATTTTAAAATATCATGCTTCCCATAAAAAATAGCATTATTGGCTGATATTTACACATTCAGACTTTCTCCTTAAAAAAATTCTAAATAGCGAAATCATATTAGCAATCAATGACTATCAAAGCATTGCTCACAGTCAATTAAATTGTGCTAATGCTGATTTAAAGTCATTCTTACTCAAAATTTGAGACTAAATATTCAAAGCAGCGTGGTAAACAATATTAGGACCGTGTCACAAGTTGTCAATGAATGAATATACAAGCATAAAACCAACTTTACCTCAATTGCAGCGACGGCTTCATGTAGTGCTCTGTTACTTCATTATTATACAGTTCTTTATTCACTCTAGTTAATTAGCTCAGGGTTGCACCTATTTTAAAGGCACTATACAAATGGTCAGTGTATAACTATGATATTTTATATATGTAACTCTCGTGTGTTTTGATATTAATGTGAATTTACTACAGTGGCAAATGCTGTTTTGAGTCACTTTTCTGTTTTCCAAAGTTTAAATAGTTTCATGTTGAACCCTGAAATATTAAGACTTGAGAACTTTCCTTTAAAGACAGAGGCTTAACAAGTTCTTTGATTGGCACTGGAGTTATATAGCACCCTAACCACCCCAAAGAACAGCTGAAGAGACAGTTTGTGTATGCGTGCGTGCGTGCGTGCGAGGGTGTGTGTGTGTGTGTGTGTGTGTGTGTGTGTGTGTGTGTGTGTATGTGTGTGTGTCAGTCTTGCTATTACCCATATTCTCATATTTTAAATGTCAACATTAAATAAACTCAGCAGCCAATGAGGAGTGATTAAATATTTGACTGGTAACTTGACATTTGCAGAGACATTTTTATTTAATTGTGTGACTTTCTCAAAACATTATTTGCTTCAGTTCTTCTGTTCTGCAGTGAAAATACACAAAAATCTTGTTTAATGTTTTTTTTACCTCAAAAACCACTGGACTCCAAAAATCCTGGAGCGACTGATAACACATGAGTTTATAGATTTATGCTTATAGAGGTTTAATGCCGCAGGTTAAGACAGTATATTTCAGATATCATTCACAGTCACTGTTGCTCTACATTGGAGTGGCTTGCTTTGCAGTGCATATTTTCATTCAAAAAGGTCAACACAAACTGAGCAGGTGTTCTTCTTGTCAGTTGACTCTTTGTATGGTTGTTTGCAGTTAATCTGGATGCTGTGACTTGTTTTGATGTAACCACACAGGAGTTAGACGAAAAGCAGTGTGAGAAAGATCGGCCAGTGATGAACGCCCACACCTTCACTCACAAACATCTCTCTGATTTCTCTAGCCTGCACTTCAAAGCCTGTGCAATGTCATGTTTAAATGTCACTATAGAAATATAAATTCTACATTTGTCCGTGTGTCAGGATTACAGCTCTGTGTTTTGATTTTCTGCAATTAAGCAGAAAATCAAGAAGGAAAAGTGTTTCCAATTATTGTTTTATAAAGCAGGTTGTAATTTGTCTGTATTAAAGTATTAAAAACTGAGACTTTATTAGAGAATTTGAAATGTCTATATTTATGGTCAAAAATGCATTGTCAATATTGCACGTTCAATAAATCATGACACTAGCAGTTTGGTTATTTATAATCTGTGGGGGACAGTGTATGCATGCATCAAACATCCTGCTGAACTTGCATCTCTTTTAGGTAGGTCTAACCACACGGTATTCAGATGCGAGCGTAAAAAGGCTATATGCCCGCGCATTTGCATCATTGTTGGCATGCATTGTGGTTTTCATCACATAGAAAAAAAGCTGTTAGTGTTGCAGAACCCAAGATATGCGTAAAGTTGATCTCTGTGCCTTTTTTTACTCATATATAACACATATTAGAATTTAGCATTTAGCCAGGCGAGGCAGTGGCGCAGTAGGTAGCGCTGTCGCCTCACAGCAAGATGGTTGCTTGGTCGCTGGTTCGAACCTTGGCTCAGTTGGCGTTTCTGTGTGGAGTTTGCAAGTTCTCCCTGCTTTCGTGTAGGTTTCCTCTGGGTGCTCTGGTTTCCCCCACAGTCCAAAGACATGCGGTACAGGTGAATTGGGTAGGCTTAATTGTCCGTAGTGTATGAGTGTTTGTGTGTGGATGTTTCCCAGAGATTCCGCTGTGGCGACCCCGGATTAATAAAGGGACTAAGCCAATGAACTTTGTGCCATTCTTTAATAGACCCAAGATTACCAAAACCCACGCGAACATGGGGACAACATGCAAACTCCAAACAGAAACGCCAACTGATCCAGCGGGGACTCGAACCAGCGACCTTCTTGCTGTGAGGCGACAGTGCTAACCGCTGAACCACCGTGCCACCCTATAATAATAATAATAAAATTAGCTAAATTATCACAACCTCTTTAATATTTTTTAATGACGTTATAGCTTTTGAATTCTAAATTAATTAATCTTAAATTAATAATTAATAATAAAGCGTATAGTTACAATCTTCCAGTAAATAGTCTATAGCCTATTTCAAAGAAAAAAAATTAAAAGTATGACACACATACATTTCCAAACCAAACTTCTGTCAGTTCACAGAAAATCATTCGACATTTCAGTATTTTGTGTCCAAACCCAATATTCTATAGACTAGACACAGCTGTATAGTAATTTTTTTTCCAAAGAAAAAAAAAACTTTAATAAGTAGAATTTCCTTTTAGGCTAAAGCAGGGGTGCCCACACTTTTTCCTATAAAGGACCAAAAACCAAACTTGATTGAGGGCTGTGGGTCCAAGTTTAAGATACCAAACCGTATTACATTAAATTTGCCATGGGTAGGCCTAATTTTAAAGTCCTTTGCGTATTATTCGAAAATAACTAGAAATCATTGCTTTAAAACATATCAAATAATGATGCAGTATAATTTTTATCATTTTATAATGAACTTATTATAGTAAAAACATAAATAATCCCATTTATAACACAATGGAGTCCAGTGCGGAATACACTAGTCAAGCTGCTCCTGCCTTTGCCTTGATTTGTTTGTTGATGTTTTGTGCATCTGTCAAGTGAAAGTTTTTACATTTTTAAAAGTCTGATTCATTTACAACATTTTAGTTGGCTTTGTTTCTAGTCCCTTAATTAAACAAAGAAACAAAAGGGTATATTCATTTTTAAAATCAAGTCTCTGTTGAAGGCATTCGCCCCAACCAACTCCCCATCATTTTCCCTCTCTTTTCAGATGGGACGGCGAGCTAAAAGTTACCATGGGCCAACTTGGCCCGCAGGCTCTACTTTGGGCCCTTTTGGGCTAAAGCATCTAAAAGCGCTACATGCAGAGATCTGGAGTGTGTGCTGAGCTGAACTTTCTCCCCGAAACTATAGCCTACCTGAATTTCAACCTGAACAATGTACGTCTCAAGTGTTTAAACACACGAAAGAAGGATGTCAACCTCTCTCTATTAGCCTAATCAACATTATACCTATTTACGCTGCGGTTGCAATAGAGTATAAGAATACTGTACTTTTCGAATGACATGCCACATATGAGAACCAAGCGCACTGTTGGAGAGTAAATTGCTATTCCCATAACCACAACCAAGTTTGAATAGTTTTTCTTTAAAAATCACAGGCTAAAATAATTTAACTCAATATCAACAATAGACTAGGTTACTTTGGTGGTCTATAACAGCTCTTAGCTTACTGCATCAGATCATCCATGCTTTCCCAGTGATAGGTTGCAGCTGGAAGGGCATCCACTGTGTGAAACATATGCTGGATAAGTTGGTGGTTCATTCCGCTGTGGCGACCCCAGATTAAAAAAAGGGACTAAGCTGAAAAGAAAATTAGTGAATGAATGAAGATCATTTATGCGTCTTCTGATTTTTTTATCTGTAAAGTTTGCCATTTAATATGATCAAAATTAGGTTAATGTTTACATTTTATGTGTTAACAGCACACGTTTAATTTCAAGCACAATAATATAATTCTTGAGCTCTTTAGAAACGTTTCACAAACAATTTAAATCTTATTTCGGTTTGCACTGGTTGACAGTGCCGAAAAGCCAGTTTCGAGGTCGGCGCTAAGCCTCAAATCTTCTTTGCTCATATTACTAATCTTACCACCCGCTCCCCTGACCTACCTATTAAATCAGTGAAAGCTTGAGACGACAGTCTTGCGGAATATAGAACATAGGCTTGCTGCTGCATGAATAATTACTCAGCAAATGTTGATTAATTATATAAGTCTGGAGAGAATTAGAAAGCTGTAAAAGTATTTACCTGGTTCACATGTGAATAATGGGATATTTACCTACTGCTTAAACAGAAGGAATGAACAGACGGACCAGGTGCGATGCAGGACAACTCGCGCCTTTAGGGACGAGTAGTCTTTAGTGCTGCTTTGTAGAGCTCAAATTTGATATTAAGCATTTGTTATCGTGGGTTTGGTGAGTTATAGTGTTTCTCAGAGATAACAAATGTGCCTTTGAGCGGTTATTGTTCAAATGACCGTGGAGGATAAGTTTCAGCACTTTGGATGTCCTTTTGATTCGCAAAGGAAATACTCATTGGATTTCGAACAGCGAATTTGCTGTCTTGAAAAAACTCAGGTAAGAGAATAGTTTTCAGTTTCACGTGTAAAAGAGTTGTCTATTGCCTAAAGTGCTATAATACATTGTAACATGTTAAAAGCTTGAACAATGCGTATAAATTGGATAAACGTTGCACATTTATTTTACAAAAAATTAAAGGTTACATTGCCTAATGTAATTATCCACTGCACTTGTAACAAACTAGCTTTGTCACGTATGCCTTTCTGGTTTGGCTAATACGTGACATATTCCTGTTCAACGTGTTCAGATATGGTCAAACTTTGACAGTCTGTTCTGTTTGTTTAAGTTTACAGAGAAAAATAAACGCTCATCAGCACAACTGACAGCAAACCCCTCCCTCATGTTTGCACTATAGACACCAGCATTGATAGAACAACTTCAACATTTAACCATTGTATCCCCAAGGAAATGTTTGTCAGGTTTATATTTCTCAATGTGTGTGGAGAATAGTGGTATTAAACTGATTGGGAGAATTATTAATTTGACCGCAAATAGGTAAACAAAGAGAGACAATAGCATGATAAACACTTTTTACTTTAATAAGACAATATAGGCCAAGGCTTCCCAAACTTTTCAAAATAACAATATCAGTGACTCACGACCCTCACATTTCGGAGAGGTAGTTATAAATATACAAACATTACACACACAACAATATAAAAACCTATAAAAAGCCTATAAAACACGGGCATAATGACAACAGTGCAACAGTCTAACAGTCATATAATTTTATAGTCATTTATTAATTTGTTTACTTTAATATTAACCTCACCAAAAGAGACTGATGGGCACAACGTTTTCAGCACAAGTCTATTTTTGGTTTACATTTGGAGACCAGCACTCACAGATTATTCTCAATGTTCTGTTGTAACCTGTATTTATTTTTTAATGCATTTCATTGACATAATGGTGTCAGAAAGTTTATAAAATCAATCTGCTGCATCTGACTCTGATGCTATTGCCGTGTTGTTAAACTGACGGAAACAAACCAATCCTATGAAAAAATAATAATTGAAATTCATTTGCGTTTTGTTAATTTTTATGTAACTATTAACTACTATTTTTATCTTCTGTGGGTTTAGGATAAAATATGGTAATTCTAATAGTTTAATAAAATGTATGTGACATTTGAAAATCACCAAAAGACCCATTGTCATTGTCCCATAACCCCCAAGGGTTGTCAACCCCCACTTTGGGAACCACTAGCCTAGGCTACAGCCTAGTTAACCATTGTATTAAGATTGTAATTATAAAACCATGGCTCATTTTGATAAAGGTTGTTTGAAGAAGCCAAAACCAACCAAGGTCATCTCAACATTAAACAATTTTTACTTGGTGAAGATTTTTTGGGGCTTTTTTGTTTGCCAGCCTTCATAGTAATGTAATGTGTGTTTATATAGCACATTTATCGTGTACGGCCATACACCCAAAGCTCTTGACAATCATAAGGAGGCTCTCTCCACACCACCACCAGTGTGCAGCATCCACTTGGATAATGCAATGGCAGCCACAGGACAATGACAACAGGGCGCTCACCACAAACCAGCCATTGATGGAGTGGAGAGACAGTGATACAGCCAATTCGGTAGATGGGGATGATTGGGAGGCCATGATGATTAAGGGCCAATGGAGGGAATTTGACCAGAACACAGAGGTTATAAAACTACTCTACGAGAATTGCCATGGGATTTCTAATGACCACAGAGAGTCAGGACCTCAGTTTAAGGTCTCATCCAAAAGACGAACATTTCATCCACCCCTAAAAGTATTTTTTATGGGCATTGAAAATTCATAACCAATAAGCAAGAAAAGCGGCTTAGGACCCAAGGAAATCTGAAGGCCCCCAAATAAATACCAAAAAGTATAAATGATACTATAAATTATATAAAAATAGTTTTCTATCATATTTTGTACGGTGAAGGTCTAAACATTTTTTAAACGTAATTATTACATCTGTGCAAATGTGTCCCCCACCTTCAATTATGCACCAGTCTAGCAGTCAAATCAGTAAGGATTTAGTGTTAAAAGCTGAATACTTCATTTGTTATGTTTAGTTATAAATTTATCTTAAGAAAACAAATTGGTTCAAAAGTTTTACAAGGTGCTTTAAGTGTTATTATTAATTTGCATTAATGTAAAATGTAGAAAATGAGATTAAATGATATAAGGAAAAAACAGCTAAGTAATAATAATGAAAAAATTAAAGTACAAAAGGTGCATTTTAGAACTTTTGGGCGCTTTGGCTGTTATTGCTTAGAGCCCCAAAATCACTAAATCCGCCCCTGCTGGCACTTTGAATAAAACAAACACCTATGAGAAAAACAGAACCAATAATCATGGTTAGGGGCATCTCGGTGGCGCAGTGGGTAGCAAGACCGCCTCACAGCAAGAATGTCGCTGGTTCGAGCCTCAGCTGGGTCAGTTTCTGTGTGGAGTTTGCATGTTCTCCCCGTGTTCACGTGGGTTTCCTCCGGGTGCTTCAGTTATCCCCACATTCAAAAGACATGCGGTTTAGGTGAATTGAAAAAGCAAAATTGGCCATGTTGTATGTGTGTGAATCCAAGTGTGTATGGGTGCTTCCCAGTGTTGGGTTGCAACTGGAAGAGAATCCGCTGCGTAAAACATATGCTGGTTATGTTGGCAGTTTATTCTGCTGTGGCAACACCTGATAAATAAAGGGACTAAGCTAAAAGAAAATAAGATATTGAATCAATGAATAATAATAATGCCTCTTGATGATTTAAGAAAACTGAACATTTACAGCAATGGTGGGCTATTGATATAGTATTGAGGATGGTTTTTGTCAAAATTATTATTATTATACAAAATAAAAAAAATCAGACATATCTTGACTTAGACTGAGTAAATTAAACTTATTTTTTTAAATAAATGTAATATCAAACATAATATTCACATGACCTTTTCTATTGTATAAAAGTTTTAAATAATAAACGTTATTAGGATTATTATAAGGTATCTCACTATAAAAAAATAGATATCTTCTAAAAAACGTTCTTTTGTGGATCTTAAAAGGATTATTCTACATGGAATTTATGGCAACCCCTTTTGAAGACTTTGTATTTGATTTTATTTTTTCTCTCTTTTTACGGCTAGATGGCGCTGTTGTATAGTGTAGGTGAAGCGTTTTTGGCTTTGCTGCCGTCTACCCGTGGGCAAAACGGCGTTTACTTATCAACAGCGTGGAAACAATAGAGAGAAGCAAGCTTTTACATGAAGACGAGCTGCTTATAAAAAAACGAGTTACTAACGTGTTACTAACCACAGACTCTGCGCTTCAGAGTTCCCATTATCTGGAGTACCAGCGTCATCTGGGAGTTCGTCAGAAATTGTTGTAACCTACACAAACGAGAGACTATCATAACAACGCTGGAGCCAAACATAACAGATCCAGGAGAAGCACATTTTGATGTGAGTACAGCCGTTAAATCGTTGCGCAGCATTGTGAAGTTAAATAAATGTGTCGTGCAGTGTGTATTTAAAGATAAAATACGACAAATCCTGAAAGCTGAAACTGCTGAAGTGGGCGATAAGTGATAGTAAGTTAAAGTATGTTTGAGCTGAGCGTGAACGGTTAACCAAATCATTTCATGCAAAGTTGAGCTGTGAACTTTACATCATGTAACAAACATCGAATATGTCCGGGTGGTTTAACAACGTTTGTTTAGTGACCCTATTTAGATTTAAAAAAAAAAAAAAAAATGAGAATGAGAAAGAAACACGTGCGTTTCAACCTCGCCAATTCAGGATGTGTTTGTCATTCTTGGGTGACTTGATTACAGTGAGTTTTCTTAGTGTTGAAAAGTTTAATTTAGTTTGCGGTGTGGTGCTTTTTGAACATTTGTTCACAGTAGATACATCAAGAGCACATTTTGCTCATTTGTGAATGTACATTTCCTTTTTAGAATAATTTGCTGGCTGATCTAATAAAGTTCAGATTATATCACACTGGTGTTTTCTTGCAAACTGTTAGCTGGACCTGCAGTGAAGTGCAAGTATGCACACTTGATTACTTATTCAGTTCAGTTGGGGTTTGGCACTGGGTAAAGTAATTACACGTGGCCTGTCAGTGTTGACTAACAGTCATCTAAAGACAATTTAAATAATTTAATAAAAATATTGCATTATTAATATTATTATTATATATGTGATGCATGGCATCTGCACATCCACTGCCTCTATTTTTATAGTTGTTTGTATGCTAAGAAAGCTTTAGATTTATATTTTGGTGAAGTGCAATTAATTTCTGTCTGAAAAAATAATATACAATAATATAACCAGCTTTTTAATGGTAAACTGGATTTTAAACAAACACACAAAAAAATGTGCAGTTTTATACTGCCCCCTCACACATCGATTACTCTAGAACAAAATTTTAGAGCATCATCACACTGGCACACACACTCACACACACTTCATCACAACCCCACTGCTGCCTGGCAATCACATCATCTGTAGTCATGGCAACTGGGCATGGAGATGAAAGCTTCCTCTGGGAGAGTCATTCTCTTCTCCTTCATTGACTCAACGCTTTTCCTCTGTGAACTAAGACGTGTTACCTGCTTGCACGCAAATGCCACCATGGTTTTTCTTCAGAGAATCACTGAATTCTCACCCTAATGGATTTTCCGCTTCATCTCTGAATAAGGCTTATGTTGGTGGCAATACCCCTCACCCCCCACCCACTCTACTGCTTTGTTTCTAAATGATTGTTTTTGTGCATTGTAATGATTGCAATTTGCTATCTCAGTAAAGCACTCTTTCTTACATATTCTCATTTTCTTTTTGTTCCTTATATCTTACATAATATACAATTGTTTTTATATTTTATTTTTAATATAAATGCATTGTGAGGTTTGCTTTCTGTGGTTTCATTTTGCTGTAGAGTTTCAATAATTGATAAACATATTTTTTAAAAATTAATGTAATAAGAAAAATCCTGTGATGGCAATAGTACAAATACTTTAGTATACATTACAATAATAAGAATAACTGTCCTTTTGTTAAGCCGTGACGTGGGATACTGTTTCTGGGTCCAAGCCTCTACTCATTTGAGTTGAGAAAATATTAGTTTATGACATCTTTTTAGTCATATGACACACTACATATTACCCCCCCCCCCCTTTAATTTTTTTCCTTCTTTAAATATTTCCCAAATGTTTAACAGAGGAAGGAGATTTTCACAGTTTGTCTGATAATATTTTTTTTTCTGAAGAAAGTCATATTTGTTTTATTTTGGCTAGAATAAATGCAGTTTTAAATTTTTATAAACCCTTTTAAGGACAAAATTATTTGCCCCTTTAAGCTATATTTTTAAGACTGTCTACAGAATAAAACATCATTGCCTAATTACCCTAACCTGCCTAGTTAACCTAATTAACCTAGTTAAGCCTTTAAATGTCACTTAAGCAGTAAATAAGTGTCTTTAAAAATATCTAAAAAAAAAAAAAGGTTAAATACAAATAAAAAGAAAGCATACATTTCTTTTGTCCTTTTTTTTTAAAGAAAAGTTCTAAGAGAGGGTATTATAGACTTCCTATTCAGTTCGATAGAGCGCTGGACCTGGAAACCGCTTCACGCTTAACAAACGGGTGAAATATGTGTAATTGGCCTAAAAATGTCATTGTAGAATAGTCAGAAAAAAAAATATATTTTCCGGAAGGGCTTCATGATGTGTGCTGTCTGTAGACATAGGGTATAAATAAGTTTGACGTTTAAGAATTGATGAAAATCCAACAATAAATTATTTAGTAATTAAATAAAAATATATAATTTTGTATTTCGTTACTTGCATATTCAGGATATTTATCAGTTCCATTTTTGAGGAACACAAACAAATCTTCTGAAGCAAATGGCAGACTTTGTTGTCTGATTGCCTTTCAGGTCTTGAAGAAATTCAGGAGAAAAATGTCATGCCTGGTCATAATCATTGTTTGTTGATCTCTGATGTACTCGTTCACATTCCTAGTAGTAAAACTTTAGATCTCAAGGAAAACGCTTCTAACAGTAAATACTTTAGTTTAGACAGGGTCACTGACAAAAACAGAAAAGTTTAGAGCTGACAAATATTCTTGGGTTAAAGGGTTCACCCCTAAATGAAAACTACCCTATATGAATTACTCTACCTCAACCCATCCTAGGTGTATATGTCTTTGTTCTTTCAGACAAATCCATCCAGAGCTATAATAAAAGTTCTCTTATTAAAAGTTCTCGTAATCTTTTAGGCTTTAGAATGGCAGACAGTAGGTGCTAAATTTCTTCAGTCCAGGGAGGGGGAATAGGCCTTTAGTAGTGAATAAATGCATGTTAAAATAAAAATATATCTATTTCAAAACTTATAAACACTGTGCGTTCTTTTCTGGTGGATGTGCAGAAAACAGAAGAGTGGCCATGATTCAAAGTATAGCACGTTTTGAAAACATGTTCCAGAGTCTGAGATCTGAAAACGTGTTTTTGTATGCCAATTAGGGATGCAACGATTTAGGGCTGGACAATAATTCGATATTAATATATATCGCAAAAGGTTTTTTTTTCATGATGGTGATATGATTTTTATATGATTCTTACACATTTTATATGATTTTTTCCGGTATTTCGATATACATTTGCATACATGTTTATTAAATAAGATCTTATACCTTGAATCATTTGTCACTGAATGACTTTCCGTGCTCAGAATGAGCGTGACGTCACTTGTGTGATGATGTACATCACAGACATGCTGACACAGCCAGTGCTCAGAAGTTGCTTAAGCTGCTCTGTTGCAGAAAGCTACAAAATGAGTGCCCTGAAAACAGATATGGGGGAACAAGCTTCCACAAGTAAGAATGCAAACGAATTAGTTGATGAGAGAGGAAAGACAAATGCAGTGGTGTGGATGTTGTTCGGCTTTTAAGGTTCCGATAAACTTATAGTTTTGGTGCTCTGCAAAATGTGCGGGAGATTGGTGCTGACTAGCAGCGAGAACACATCAAATCTGTTCCGCCCGATAGAACATACAGAGAGTCAGAAGCAATGCCAGAAGATGAAGCATCATAAAAGTTTAGGTCAACCTGTCGCTTCACCATCCACCGTCCTGACACCAAACACAGATGGCTAGAGGCGCTGTGTAAGATTTAAATTAAACTTTACTTATCAACACGTAAATATACATCTATAAATTACTTGCATATAAAGCTATACTATGTTCAAACATGTATGAAACTTGCGCATATATAAACATAATGCATGCATACACCCACATACACACACAGACATATAAACTTGGTCCTCGCATAAACACCCAAATTAACACACACACACACAAACTCGCTGCATGCTTGTAACTCGAGCAAACTTAGAAAATAAAATTCACAAACATATTTATCAGGATAAATTTAATACGTACCTCGGTTTTTTAACGCGGTTTTTGGTTTAGTTCGGGTCTCATGGCTTGACACGTGTTTTTTTTTTTTTTTTTAAATTATCGAGGAGATATCCACGTGTTGTGCGATAAGTCGATATATTGATTATTGTGTAGACCTACAGGTTCTGGTCAGAATCTTGGCAGCAGCGTTCTGGATGAGCTGCAAGTATCTGACTGTCATGTTGGGAAGTTCAGTGAGGAGTCCATTACAATAATCCACTCTGCTGGTGATGAAAACATGAGCAAAATTCTCTAAGCCCTTACTGGAAACTAGGGTTGTGACGGTGAGGAAATTTCCCCACCGGTTAATCGACATGTGACAACACCGGTAATAGCGGTATCACCGTGGGAGTGGGCATTTCTTGATTTCCTCTTTTTTTCTGCTTTTTAATAGCTTATAAATGCGTGCTATAATACTTTCACTTTCAGTTTTGCGGGAATCGCTAATTTGCCGTCAATTGTTTGAATGGAAGAAAACAAACATCCAAAAAAAAAAAATCCCTGTTATTAAACAAAACATAACTTTTATTAACATAACGAATAAAACACAACAATGCTACAGGCTGAAAAAACTGTGGAAGTTGGAACCATACAAATAACAACCATAATGCCTATGTTATATATTAACAGCTTATATGAACAATCCGTTTATAAAATACATTATTAACGAATCTATAGGCTATTAGAACAAACCGAATATGAAATATGATCCTTGCATAATGATCACAACTAAACAAGCGAGCACTCATTTTATATATAAACTATATAAAAAATGTTAAGAATTGGAACATTATGTAAAAAATCTAAAGACTACAGGCTAAATAAAAGCACCTCGTCAGAGCTAAACATCACCGCACACGTGTCAGTTTACAGCTTCTGGAAAGATCAGACAACCTATACAGATCACACAATCTCAATAAACAACATGTAAATGTATAAATATTTCGATAAGTATTTTTATGGAATATTTATAACTATATGATCTTGCTTTTTCGTTATATCGATA